GCATACCTTCATCCACTGGAATTTTACGGCTGGGACGACCGCAAACATGCTTATCGCTGGCCATGTCATTCACTCGTGTCGTGCGCTTACTAAAGTACCCGGCCAAAATTCCGACATGGGGACTTAAACTGTGACAACACAAGGACCAACCTTAGGCCTCAAAAAAGATTAAACTTCAAACACTGACCTAAGTACTTCAAGTCAAGGGTTACATGACAGCTCTTGTTGTTGGATTACACGACAAAAGCAAAAATGTCAAAAGCGTGGAAAAACTCACTTCCTGTATACAAAGCGCGCTCGTTTTTAACGGGGGGATTTTCAGATCATTTTCCCGTTATATGGCCATCCACAAGATGGATATAACGAAGTTGGTAGTACATTTAGGGTACATTTGAGATTCATAATCAGGGCCATCGTTGCTGTAACTCACGTTAAAGGAACGTACTTGCCAGTCAGGATTTCGGGACATGACTAGCCAGCATTTCGTCTCATGCCAGGGGAGCCTGGGTACATGGACCAAGAGGCTAGTGAATGTCAGTTGACTGTCCATGTTTGGTGTGGTTTCATCGCCTTTCTGAGTCAACCAGGTTCTCAGGAAGACCATAAACACTTCCTGTGTCGGAGAGCCTAGTGCAACAAAGAGTTCGTTGATGAGAGTTTACATGCAGATTATTTAGCCTCCACTGATGGCGTCTCTGACGCTATTTCCTTAGTTGGTCGGTCTTGGCATGTTTTTGATAGAGAGGCTTCCTTCCCAGACAGTGAGATCGGCAACTGTTGACGGTTTGAACGACCAATACTTCAAAGTGAACGGAGCCAGACAGTACCAGAAAGTGATATAGAGAAAATGCCAACGGACTGCACTCTAGGTTTACCCATGGGATACCGGAGCGAGATGTTCAGTGATAAGCGGTCGAACTTAGTAGGGGCAATAATAAGCTGGATAGATACTTCAGAGAATGGAAACACATACTGGTTCACAGTGACTTGACGGGCAGTTCAACGCACTGGCGGCGGGCCACTGGGGAGGGTTTTGGGAGCACATGATTCCTACAACCAACAACCGTTCACTGGTTCGACCTACATCCCGGGTTGGAGACCTAACAGCACTAACTTCAGCAGAGTTGTTGCTGTTGATAGACAACTTAGAGGAGTTCATGGGTATATACAAGAGTGACAGATTTTTTGAGGGACGAAGACAAACCAGTTATTTCGCAGAAGTATTACGACAATAGCATAAGCGGACGAATTCTGAGGGAAACATCCAAGTAGGTGACTTTTTCATGATAGTGTCGGACACTGGAGATAGAAATAAGTGGCCTCTAACACTGGTTCAGCGAAAGGTACGCAGTGAAGGTGGGTTGGTTAGAAAGGTAAGATTGAAAACAGTGAAGGAAACGCATGTTGGAGACATTCGCAAGGGGCATCCTAGTGGCGTCGGATGAGAGGCAGTCCGTAGGGGGACCCTCCGGCGTACTGCTGTATGTCCTGCGGACCACCTAGGGATACATCCATGCTTTTGTCCGTTTGTTTGGCGTGATAAATGTTATTGGGTGCTAATTGTTGTGAAAAGAAACTGAAATATTTGATGGAGGAGTATTGAGTGTGTTTCGATTTTGTTCTTGTAACGCATTCAAAAACATTGACCACTCATTTTGTTTGGCTTCATTCAACTTGCTTGTATAACCATATTTAGCCTCCCGTTTCGATTAGTGAGTGTTACCACGGGATTTCGTTTCGGATGGAAACTACAGCAGCCCTCAAAATTGAGGGTTTGTAGCTGAGCTTTGTACATACATTTTGTTGTCAAGACCAATTTTCGCAAGTTTCACTTGGCGTTTGAACACACATTCGTTTTTTGGCAACCAGTTGTTTTGGATTTGGTCGGTTTCGCTTTGGATTTTTGGAACTCTGGAAATTTGTATCTTCATTACGTGCTACTCAGTGGATTTGACGTAACACCCCAATCTTGAAAACTGCCCATATTATTCCCACTGATGAATCCGGAAGAACTGCACATTTAGATGATTACCGCCAGTTAGTCACACGTCGGTGGTTTTCGGAGTGACTGATAAACTTCTAAGGAATAGTGTTGTGGATTACCTATTCAATAACAACTTGTTATGGACTTCGCACAATGGTTTCTTTGAAACCGGATCCCGTGACGCCTGCATGCTAGGCTACCTTGAATAAATCTCATGAAGGCGTGATAAGGGCCTTTTTGTTGTTGTACTGTTTTTCAGCTTCAATGGGGCATTTGGCAAAGTACTCAACCTAAGATTGTTCATGAAGCTTAGGTCACTTGGAGTGGAAGACCCCCTATATAACTGATTTGAATGATTTCTTCAAGAACTTTTTCAGAGTGTTAAATTAAACGACCGCCTTTCACACCCTGGACCGATTACAAATGGTGTGGTACAAGGAAGTGTTCTTGGTCCATTTCTCTTTCTGATGTATATTAGAGGCATGTGTAAGGTGAATAGACTTGGAAAAGTATATCTTTATGCTGACGTCCTTAATATGGTTTACAGCTTCCGGCATGTTGTGTTTACTAAAGGTCTGCCAGCAGCTCGGGCACAACATTGGGGACTCAGTGTATCTGGCAGTTTCTCCTCCGCTGTATAGCCTGTGTCGCAATAGCAGGGCATTCCATATATGGTGAACGGCATACTGGCCCGACTCCAAACTGACGGCCTGCTTGAACTCTGGGCTACCCTTTTATCACCGAATATATCGCATCAAATTTCTCATTTCTATATTGCAATAATCGTTCAGTTATGTTAACCAATCATGTTGTATACTCTCGCACTTTTTTTAAAATCATTTTAACCTATCGCTCCTGAAGTTGATGGGAAAATTAAGAAGAAGCACCACAGCGGGTGCAGCTGGCTCTCAAGCTAATGATCACCGATCGAATGACCATTCGGGAAATACTTAGCACAAACTGCAGGCCGTTGCCGAATAGAGTTGATTATCTTCAGTCGCTCTTGTCCACAAATGTTTATCGAAATACGGGTATAATAACGCTACAGGAAACATGGCTCCATAACCTGTATAATGATGATTTAGTCTGCTCAGATGGTTTCAAATTATTATGTCAAGATCGAAGGTTTTCAAGGAAAATAAGTAGTGTTGGTGCAGCAAAGCGTTCTGCAGAAGACCCTACAGTATTTCATGAGAACGTGATATTACTCATTAGGGCAGCTCTAGATTTTAACTTTCCCTGGCTTTTGACCACTGCAAGTCCATCCGATCTTATGAGAGAATTTCAGGAACAACTACTGGAAAACTGTTTAGCTAACGTGTTTCTCCGCGTAATCGTTGGGGGTGTGATGGCGAGGAACTCCGACTAGAACACGTTTTTGCTGCTTAGTACATCGGTGCATTGAAGGCAGGTGCCCACAACCCTCCTAGTTGGAGTGATCACATGTTGATTTCTCCGATGTTTCTAAGTCCGTGCCACCTACCCCTGATCAGCCACTAGTCTGAAGCCATAGGAAAACTATCTATGAAATCGTCAGGTAAAATCTACAATGTTTCACTTGGCTAAATTTTGATGACTCAGTAAATCAGAACGCCAGACGAGAAAAACTGCAGAATACCATCCTTCAGGCCACCAGCAGGAAAACTCCTTTGGTCTTCCGATGTAGAGAGGAAACGGCTGGCTATTTCTGGTTGCAATTCAGCACCAGCGGTTGAATGCGGAGGGACAGCTAGTCTGGAACAAATGGGAGGTTACTAACATCATGAATGACTGGAAAAATTATAGGGATGTCCTTAACATATGCGTAGTAATCTATCAGGCACGTTTGTCTAGAGCACTGCGTGAGGATGACGGGACACTGTGGTCATGGGTGAAAAATAAGTGTAACACTTCACTTAGTGAACAGGGTCCATGCAGTTCAACGATTCACCATGCTAACTCTGAGGCATGTAACTTGCTAATTCACGAATTAAAAAAGCTTCTGTCAAGTGGAAGGGGTAGCCATGTACAGAACTTCAGCCATATAGAGCTGTAGCCTTTTAAAATGAGGGAAGTCTTAAGATTTTCCGTCATGGTGTAGGGACTATGTATTCGTCCTCACTAGTTATATCTTCCGGGACACTATATTTCTGGAATGAGTTGACGGAAGAATTGCGAAAACGTAAATGGGCTGTGGTAAAACCTTATCTGGTACTGTGCAGGAGGATCGGAGGGGGTTTGTCCATAGCGTGTCATGTTGCTCACAATCATTTGAATCTCAAGGGTCCTCCTGTAGGCTTTGCTCAGGAACCACACCCTAGAGGTCAGGAGAGGTGTACACGTGGACTTCTGTGGTACCGATGGGTTGTAATAAAGGAGCAACCCATCATCTTATTGATAGTGGGTAACGGCACACTTTACAGGAAGCTGATCAGTCAGCAATCGTTTTTCCTGTATTTATGAGCTGCAAACGCAAATGACCATTTCAAACCAAGAAGGTGGTGCAGCCAAAAGTAGAACTCAAGGAACTATCCTTCGCTATTTCTACAACACTACTTTTGAAGCTTGACATCTACTAATGACGATGACGTAAGTGGCTAGAAGGCCAACTTCAATTCTAGAGGGAAATGGAGAGACAGCATGGGCAGCAGGAGCATACTACTCGGTTAGTGCAGGCTGACACGTGTATGTGTGCAGTCCACTGGATCGCCATCTACAGATAAGGAGTAGTAATACTACCTTCAGACCAGATTAACAATAGATTATCTCCCCCTTTCAGGCTTTTCAGAGCCAGAAAGACAATTGTGATCATTTAAAACTTAGAAAGTACTCCAGTAAGATAAATCTAAAACTCAAGGGACTATAGTTCATTAATTTAACAACATTTAGTTTGAAGTTTAGTGATAAAGGTGGGAGTTCAATCACAGCTAACATGATTTTCCCGCCTAAACCACAATTTTTTTCATCACTCCCTTGGATATCCAAAATGAAACCCAACAAGCGAAAGCTTCTAACTCGTTTCCAGCCGTTTGAAACCATATGATCCTAACTATGACCTTGAACAATTCAAATTGTCTGAACTACTGATGGAGATTTTCGTCGTATTTTTCTAGTGCGTAATAAATTTTCGCTTAGAATTTATTTTGTAGTTTTCTTGTATTCCAATCGCAAATCGTTGCAGTGAACGTGGCTCTGGAAAATCGAAGTCTTCTAGAAAATGGTCCTGAAGTAGTTAGTATCTCGTGAGTCATGTTTTTCTCACTTCATTGAGTATAGGTCGGAATCAAATAATGTAAGCACCAGCAATGAGTACGTTTCCAATTTTCACTGCCTCATTCGTAACTGCTCTTAGGTCTTCGTTAAATGTACTGAATTTTCAGAAGTCTAAAGTAAGTTTTTTAAAATGTTTCCAAAAGACTGCTGACGCCTTGGTAGCATTTTTTGCTGACGAAAGTTTTTGTAGAGTGCGCAAAATTCTTTTGTTTGAAGCTTATGAGTCTATATTCGTAATTGACTGCTTCGGTTCCTTATATTCGTGCTGTTGGAAAGTTTTCATACCACTCACTGTTGCTAAACTAAGAAAATTAGGCTCAGCTGATCAAGTTTTGATTGGCTGTTTTGCTCCTTTCCTGTTACCACCGATTCTGATTACTTGGTTCTTCATTTCTCTACCCTTCATTTTTGAGCTTTCGACCCTGATACGCGTGTACTGTTCGTGGCGACGTGTCGTTTAGGGGTAATCTTGATTTACGTGCCGATGTTGGTTGACTAAGTGCGCAACCTGGGTTTGGTGAAGTACAGATGCAAACCAAAGATTCATTCTTTTGAAGTCGTGTTGAGACGACTAACCACATCCTTGATGCTTCGAAATAATTTCCTAGCAGTTGTTAACCCTTGAAAAACTACTCGTGTTGCTACTTAGTGTCACCATGGTGCATAACGCACCAAATTTTTATACATGAGCAAGAAGGGTCTGCTTCTGAGGTACGGTGTACAGGGTGCTGGGTTACTCTACGATTTACGTTTTTAACGGAGAATAGATAGACACTACTGGAGTTTATTTTGGATATATAACTCATAGTAGCTTTCTTCTCGATGGTGTTATTTGGAGATAATCCGCGCGTTCTGTGACCTTGGTCAACAAAATTTCTTGAAGTAACTTTATGCATTGTTCGGAAGCCAACTTTATTCTAATTGGCCTTTACAAAATTTTGATTCCAATTAGGCACCAATCATCCCGTCAAATATAGATGATCTTCAAGTCAAGGAGCAAGTCGTTTCCGAGCCATTTGTTTCGTCTGGTAGTCAGAAACCTGCAAGTGAAACGGCTTCGGGTAGGTCAGTTCCACCTTCAAGTAACCTGCAAGAAATAGTCAAACCTGATCATGAGGTTGTGAAGGGATCCATACTAACAGAATTACCGTCTTTGGATTCAGTAGCTGCAGAAGGCATTAATACGCATGAGATTCCAACTTTCAACGAATTTCATGCAATGGTTTCAGAAGGAACACAGTCTCGTAAAGGCCAAGGTTTGTTCATTATTGCTGATACTACACTGCAATTATATAGTTACTTCAGCTTTCATGTAGTGTATGTTGATCATGAATAGTTTATATATCTGTTAAATTTGCGAATATCAATCTTGTTGGCTGTGAAATAGATCACTACATTTGCGTTGTATTATGTCACCATCCACCTACCGAATTTTGCGCTGCCAGGTAGTATCAGTAGCTTGATGTCCACTGCACAAGCATGCGCGCGGTTGCTGAATGCATCTTTCTTGGGATTCACTCAGGTAAAGGTTGAAGTTATAGCTTGTTACAGGGCTACCTTTTGGATATTATATCGAAACAAACTGCTGATTGAAGTGTTTAGAATCGTCATCAATTACGTGTGAGAATTGCTAAGGTCATATAGATAGCTAATTCGTGCAGCTTTTAGATGTCTAAATTCATCGTAAACTGGTGTGTGCATCTGACTTTACTAACACATATCAGTGTTTCTATTTCTTTTGTTTGAAGGAATTCTATTTAGCTACTCAAATCACTTCTGTTTGTTCATGTTAGTCTATGTAACGGACTCAGAAATGGATCATGCAAAAACATGACCTGAAAAATGAGATAAAGGCTGACGTGATGACCGTGAAGTTGGGAGTAGTCGAATAGTCTGCTATGGTTTCATGGGCAATATATTCAGTTTCTCATGTTTTAAGAGTTATGAAGTATGCTTCCTGCACAGATTGAACTATAACCTTTATTTTGAATGTCTTCATAGGGTGGATTAGGGTTTACTCGTCGTGAAGCAGGAGTCATTGAGGTTGATGTTGCTGACGCTGTATGCCAACAAACCCACTTTTCGCACTGCGCCACCTACTATTCATTGTATCTTCAGAGATTACCGCTAACATGCTATCTGTTTCATAGGTAACAGGCGTTTGCTACCGACAGCTAAAGGCCTCAAAAACACTCAGCCATCCTGTGCATATTCGTGCAGTTGGCAATGAACCACACCTTTTGTGTGAGGGTTAGCGAAACTACCTGGCTGCCCAAACCTCGGTAGGCGGAGTGAGGTTCGAACCCACACAAAAGTGCCTTTGTATTCGTTGGGTGTTGCTTCTCTTGAGTTACTGCCTACTTCATTTAATGCCTCTAATATTAAAGCACGCAAGTGACTATTGATGGAAACCCAATTAATCAGTATAGCTTCAGCTCTAGCACCTACCGTAAAAGTGACAGACGAATACGAGAGTCAAAATCAACACAAAACCTCGCACACAAGTACATTGTTTCGAATTGTCATACTTCATATTAACATGCAAAGAACAAGTGAGTGAAGAAAGTGATGTCAAAAGCATCTGAGAAAGGGACTTGAAAATGAAAGCTAGTGAAAATATTGAGGCTTCGGAAGACGTCGAAGAGTGATTTTCACCAGAGGTCTCGAACTGTTGGTTTATATAGTCTCGAGGACTCAAACCAACCAGTCAACACCTACTTACACGACCCAAGCCAACTGCCAGAGACCTCGTCGATTGTTACCATGTCTTGATATGGTCACGCTGAGCCTTCTTCCAACCTAATCCTAGTTCGGTTAACATTGCACGTTGAGGTAGACTGTCATCATATGCAACGCGTATCCAAGTCACTTCATTCGTTGAAGTTTCTTACTAACTTACTTGCTTCCCTTATTACCCTTCGCCTCTCCTCCACAGTACTCACACGGTGATTCCACAATACATAAACAATACCATGAGGACACTTATAGTCAAAAGCCTGCAATCTCCTCGTGTTTACTGCTCCGATGGTCATTTCTCTCAGTTGCGTAACATGAAAAAGCCGGCTGCAGCGTGGCATATTCGTCTTTTAATAGGTAGTTGGCTGTCTCGCCGACTCCAGAAGTAAAAGAAGTTGGCAAATGTCAAAAGGGCCTTTCATACCCGGTTTGAGACTTGGTGAACAATTAGCCTGTTTGAAGTGACACAAATCCCCGATTGAGTGAAGTGGTCAGCGCCTTCAACCGAAGTCAGTGGCGCAGATGTATACACACATTATCCTCATCTTAACAACGCTATACCGAATCTCACTATTTTGTCACTCCTCTTTCCTTTCTTCTCATACTTTATATTTCTTTTGACTGCATTCACTTATCTTCATCCTTCACCTCACTACCTTTTTACTTGATGTGCTGATATGAGGTGTGGCAACTCGGACCGTTACGCAGTAATGCCTGGTCCTATGTTGATAATGATGATGATGATGATCAACCACTTCACTACCTATCCTCCAACTGGGAGTACTTGCAGACTAGTCCCAAAACATTGCCTTACATTTTACAGGTGCGAAACGCGCGCCAAACATACTCAAGACGTTAAAAAGACCCTAGATTTTGTCTACAGGACAGTGTAGTCTGCATACTCCAAATAAGCCAGATGCCCTCCTGGGAGTAGGTCAACGTCTGTAGAGTCAGACGTATCGTAGGTTATGTCCGCTAGTACATCTTTAGTGAAATTAAGTAGGAAGTGATAGCAGCCATCCGTGGCGAACCCTACTAGTCGTCACTTCACGTGAAAACTCTCCATAAGCGCCTACACGGCTGCGTGATTTCGAGTAGGGAGCTTTGATTGACGCTGTATACTTGCTCGGTACTCCCTTCACAGTAAGACACCGCCACAACATTTCACGGTCGACAGAGTCGAATGATACCTTCAGGTCGGGAGATGTCGATCACTGGTAAGTATGCCTGTGTTCCAGGACCTGTTAGAGGGAAAAGATCTGATCGATGCACTCTTGTTTAGGTTTGAAGCCTGCCTGGTTTTCTTGAGTTTGCTCTTCTCAACCTCGAGTTAGACTATGGACCACTGAATCTTGGACAAGATATCAACCAAATTGATTCCCCTATTGTTGTCACAAGAAAACTCTCGCATGTTATAGATCTGAGTGATCATGAAAGTAGACCAGTTTGGCAGCACTACCTCTGATTCCCGTACGCTACCTGGTACCTCGGTGACTCTGGTCAGCAATTCCCCACCTCCTTGTCTGATAAATCTTGGCAGAAAACCGTCAGATCCAGTTGCTCTGCACCATTTCACTTTTAGAAGAGCTTTCTAAACTTGGAGTACTAAAATCTACGTCTTACTGAAGTTTGAGCTGACTAGGTGCTGGACAAATGAAACGTTTCTGTGACTCATTTAAACTGTGCTTCAGTGTTCTGCCCAACATTTTTGCCGTCTTCCTGGGAAGTTATCAGTGTACCATCCTTACACTTAATCGTCTCTCACCATCGTCTTCTTCTGGCCAGTATCCTTAATAAGCCCAGATAGTTTCTGGGTGTTACTTAGTCCTAATGTCTTTTCCATCTTTCTCGCTTTCGCTACCCGCGACTGTTCGCGATTGGCGTGAAGACTCTTGGTCAATTTACCTCTGAGTTACTTTTGTTCTTCATTGTGGTTCGAGGCAGCTGGAATCAGTCCTTCAACATCGATGATTTCGCATGACGTTGGAGAAGTCCAATGGCGTTTGCCAACCTTTGAATGTGGGTTACCGAATTTCTTCGCTGTTGTTTTTATTACAAAATGAATATGACGACAGGTTTCAACACGAGAAGCATCTCTATGTTCAGGTAGGTGCTTCATTATCTCCCCTCTGAGTACTTGCTTTACGTCTTCATCTGATCGAGCGCAAAAAGTCTTCGTTGGTGCCTGTTCTCTGTGAACAATGGGACGCATACATGCCATCATTCACACGTGATGTGAGTCTAAACGGGTACTCCAGAAAGAGCGAAAATCCTCCACCGACGGCTTATGGCAATATTATCCGTCTCTGTCTATCGTTGGTTTGATGCTGGCTGACACCAAGTAAGACAGTGTCTCTTTGTGCTTGAAGCTATTGTCAGCCAAAAATAAGTGATCGTCAGCAAAAATTTGCAGGAGATAACCACTGTTGTCGGTTCGTTAGCATGGCGCTACCGTAGATACCTTGAAGACGCCTTTCCTCAACCTGGGGATTGAAGTTGCTGCTATGATTGTATGATGATATTAATCAGAATGTCAATGTCCTGCAATGCTTATTTATTCATTTATTCTTTGTGATTCTTTGAAAGGTCTGTTATCTTCTGCACAAGTTCTGTATAGTGTTAATGGAATTGTATTTCTAAAAAAGCTAACCTGTTTTATTTTTACTGGTTTAACTTTTATAGCCACAGAATTCGGTGAAGACAGAATTGCTAACTCACAATACGATTTAGAAACTGAAAAGGGTGCAAAAAATGCACCAGATCAGACTCTGGAGAAAGTATCGCATGCACACACAGATTCTAATCCAATTAAAATCTCCAATACTCAAGGTATGCACGAAGCGGCAATAGATGACACTATATCAGCAGACGGTGTTAGTTTACCTTCTGATAATGGTAAACCTGATTCTCACTTGGAACTACAACGTCAGTCATTAAAAGTGAATTCCAATTTATTGCCTGATATGGAAATGAATTCAAAAGGGAATTCTCATGTTACTCCGCAGCCAATAATCACCACCACAATAACTGATGAGGCGATTCATACACCGAGCAAGATTGATGTAACTTTGCGAAGAAATGTTGCTGCTGTGGCGTGTGGTGCAAAGATGTTGGGCTCCAGTAAAGCAATTAAAAATCCTGAAGCTGTACTTAATGAAAATAATGATGAATACATGAATGTCCCGTGTAGCGAAGAGAAATGGTGAGTGAAGCTCACTATTTGTCGATATATTCATGCTATTTTTTGTCTTAGCGCGGAAATATTTTCGCCTTTTACTCAGTTTAACTACTAATATACTACCGAAAGTTAGCAGGGTAAATAAATAACAGGTATTTGAATACTGATACTTTTGCAGCAGTGTTAGGATATATTGAGATTACCACTGAATAGGGTGAAAGAAAGTTGATGCATCTGTTACTTCATTGTCATTAGTTGATAGAGTTGTAAGGCTTCATCGATCAAGGTGACCAGGAAATGTGCTACGTATGTATGCTCACCATCTCATCTTGACGTACTACGTTATTTGAATTGAGATTAGTTCACTAGTTACTAGCCGGTCCTAAGCCCGGGTAAAGAGGGAAGGTTGGGCATAGGGCTAACAACCCTACCCCGTAAAACAAATCTAACCGCTAAAGAAGCTTCAAAGCACAAACAAAGTATAAAAAATGAAAACAAACTTATTCCTCGCTGGAATCGGAGAGGCGAAATGACGCCAGTTGGTGAAAGCCTTCGGGAAGCCAATTGGCCGATGTGTCTTCTCCCTATCGATGAAAGCGAAAGTAAACGTGGGGACATGGAATGTCCGTACGATGTTTGAACCCAGTAAGGCAGCCCAGATTGCAAAGGAGATGAGAAGGTATCACATCGAAGTGCTTGGAATTCGCGAAAGTCGACGGAATGGGAGTGGACTCTGCAAACTGTCAACTGGAGAATCAATAATCTACTCCGATGTCGTCACCTAGACGACAACCACGAGAACACTGAGTTTTGGAGTGGCTATCATGATGTCCCCAAGAGCATCGAATGCTCTCATACAGTGGGAACCAATCTCCTCCAGGATCACGGCAGCAAGACTCAACTGGAAAGGAAGGAAGGTCACAACCATACAATGCTATGCACCTACAAATAATGTAGAGCAAGAGAAAAAGGAGGAATTCTACAGACAACTTCAATCAACACTGGACAAGACGTCAGTTGGCGATATCAAAATTCTAATGGGCGACATGAATGCCAAACTGGGAGGGGACAACACAGGAAGAGAAATAACCATGGGTCGAGAAGCGCTCGGTGAGGTGATGAACGAGAATGGAGAATTGTTTGCAGAATTCTGTGCATTCAACGATTTGGTGATTGGAGGCAGTGTGTTCAAGCACAAGGATATCCGCAAAGCGACATGGACTTCACCAGATGGACACACTAAAAATCAAATCGATTTTATCTCAATCTCAAGAAAATGGAGACGCAGTCTACTGAACACAAGGTCAAGAAGAGGAGCAGATGTAGGTTCAGACCACTATCTAGTGCAAGGAACCTTCCAAATCAAGTTGAAAGCTTTCAAGGAAGTTGGTGATAGACCTCAGTTCAAGTACAACACTCGGAAACTGAAGGATGAAACTACGAAGGAAATCTTCAAGGCAGCCATCAAGACAAAATGGGAGATATCTAGGAACATACCTGAAGAAACCTGTGTGGAAGTCTTTGAAAGCTATGTGGAAAGAAACCTGCACAGCCGTATTAGGAAGGAAGAAGAAAGAAGACAAGAAATGGAATGGATCTCGATGGATACATGGAAGCTGGTAGAGGAGGGAAGAGGAGGATGGTGAAGCAGAAGATAAACCAGTGCAAGGATGCTCAACGACAAGAGGAACTGAGCACAATGTGTAAAACACTGGACGAAGAAGTAAAGAAGAGTGCACGCAAAGACAAAAGACACTTCTACGAAACACTGGCAAGTGAAGCAGAACAGGCTGCAGGTAAGAGAGACCTGACGACATTGTATCAAATAACCAGGTTGCTATCAGGGAAGAGACCAACACAGATGAAGCCAATAAAAGATGAAGAAGGAAATTTAATTACGAAAGAAGAAAAACAAAGGAAACAATGGGCCGACCACTTCAAAAAGCTCTTGAATCGACCACCACCTGCACTTCGTCCTGAAATACCACCTGCAGTCGCTGAATTACAAGTGAACATAAATCCTCCAACGAAAATGGAAGTCCTGAACGCCATAAAGCTACTGAAATGTGGGAAAGCAGCAGGACCAGATGGGATACCGCCAGAAGCACTGAGAACAGATGCAGAGACAACAGGGGACATGCTCACACCACTATTGCAGAAGGTGTGGAAGGAAGAGAAGGTACCTGGCGATTGGAAGAATGGTTACCTTGTCAAACTGCCGAAGAAAGGAGACCTCAGTGTTTGCAAGAACTGGCGCGGAATCACTCTCCTGTCCACCCAGAGCAAGCAAAATATTAAGCCGCATCATCCTGGAGAGGCTTAAGGATGCACTGGATTCAAAACTACGACCGGAACAGGCAGGCTTCAGGAAGTACAAATCATGTGCAGACCAGATTGCAACGCTTCGCATCATCATACAACAGAGTATAGAATGGCAATCAGCTCTCTACCTCAACTTTATCGACTTTGAGAAGGCTTTTGACAGCGTCGACCGAGAGGTAATTTGGAATCCGCTTCATTACTACGGAGTACCGCAAACCTTCATCCACCTCATTCAACAACTATATGAAGATACCATATGCCAACTGATTCACAATGGGAAGCTCAATGATGCCTTTGAAGTGAAGACAGGAGTGAAACAAGGTTGCCTACTATCCCCCATGATATTCCTGATTGTGGTCGACTGGGTCATGCAGCAAACAGTGGGCAGCGAGAAGAGGGGGATACGCTGGCTGGACTGCGGAAAAGAACCTAGAAGATTTGGATTTCGCCAACGATGACTTGTGTCTGATGTCACACAAACTTGAAGATCTACAGGCGAAAACTAACAAGTTGATAGAAGAGGCAGCGAAGACGGGACTTAATGTGAATATACAGAAGACAGAGGTGACGAAGATACCGCACCAACAACATCAACAAACTCCAGTTACCATCAACGGGAGAAACTTAAAGGAAGTAACCTCCTTCACTTATCTAAGAAGCACTGTTTCAACTACAGGCGGGACGGACGAGGACTTCAAAGTCAGAATCGGAAAAACAGCAAGACAGGAGTTCATTAGCCTGAAACCAGTGTGGAGATCTTCTGCACTCAGCATATGGAACAAGATACGGATTTTCAACACCAACGTCAAGTCAGTGCTTCTGTATGGCTCAGAGACTTGGCGCGTCACGAAAGGGATTTCCAATAAACTACAGACATTCATCAACAACTGCTTACGCTGTCTTGCTACTGAAGATGAGATGGCCAGAAAGAATAAGCAACAAGGAGCTCTGGGAACGAACCAACCAAGAACCTATCAGTCAAGAAATATGTAGGAGGAAATGGAGATGGATTGGGCATGCACTGAGAAGGCCGACCGGGGACATCACGCGTCAGGCCAGTTGCTCGAGTGGAATCCCCATGGGAAGCGACGGGTTGGACGTCCGAGGGTGACATGGAGGAGGTCGTGCGAGGAGGAAATGAGAGGTTGTGGGCTGTCGTGGAACCAGGTTCAAAAGATCTCAGAGAACAGAGGTCACTGGAGACGTGCTACTGAAGCCCTATGTTCCACTAGGAACCCAAGGGACTAATAATAATAATAATAATAATAAGGAAAACATTAAGGTGACCCTACTGTAACGGAGGATTATCTCATTAAGTCTCTGACTGTTGGTTTCATTTGGATCGTTACTCAGTAATGGCAAGTCTCATGTGAATCCTCAGTAACTGTCATATTTACTTGATTTGTTTTACGCCTTGTTTTATCTTGTATTATTATTGTTACTACGAGGAACATAAAAGATTTCAAGAACACACTAACGAGAAACGAAAGGTTTATTTGCTTGAAGGTTTTAAACTAGTTGAGCGTGTTGATTTCTTGCCTTTGCAGTTAGTCTTATATTTTCTGGCTAACATATTTTGGCTTTTGTCGGCTTTTTTATTTGCTTGCATTGTTGTGAAGTTTGGCAAATCAAACTATTGCACTTTAATGCAAGGTTCAAAGCTGCTCTATATGCCTGTTTGATGATTGGCGGTAGATTTGATGTTGCTAAGTGTGGTACTTGGAACTTTCGTATTGGTGTATACTAGGTTCTATAACTGTTCAGTGAATTGTTAATTAGATTTGGAATTTTCCTGAGTAATTTATTTGACAGTCTAGTGAATTTATTTGAAGGTAAGGGGGTTTGTTGTAGAATTCATTTGTAATATAAAACTGGTGTTTTAGGGAGATGTGAAAACCTTTTGCAAACTGTGTGAGAAATAGACTGATGTCAACGTAAAATATTGACTTTCTGAATATGTAGTGTCTAGTGGGAATAAAAGAAAAGTATTTAGGGAGAAGCAATCAATCAGATAAGCAGATATTCAAGCAATATTTTTTCTTTGTTGCTTCATATTGGTATCTGTGTAAAGAATAGGAGAAAAACTACATAGATGCTACCACTTATTATTTTGACTCATATCTGACACCATCCGGTGACTCTTGTTGCGGCTCATTGATCAGCCGATGGGTCATCTATTAGAACCTAGTTCTGCCTACCGGTGTTTGAACAATCAGACAGTATCATTAGCTCCCAAACAAAGGTGTCGCTCACTGTCTGCTGCATGAATGTGTGCACAAGGTTGGTGAATAGATTTCGATCCAATTCGACTTAGTTGCATCACTAATTGTGTTCTTTACATGGGATTACAAATTTTGTTGATGTACCTACTGCTGTTTCAACTTGACGGTACCTTCGCATCTTCTTTTCAGTCAATGTCAGCGACAAAAAATGGTGTTATATTAAAAGCAATGAAATGGTGCACATAAAGTACTAACCGACGGTTGAATCGGAAGTTAGGAGCTGACTTCTTTATTTGACTAATGAATCCAAGTATGTCTAAAAGTGCACCATTACACGATTCAAAGCGATGACTAAATATTGCTCAGTGTGAGCTGTGGCGTACTGTCCTGGGTGGTCAACTTGTAAACTAGTAGGTTGCAGGCTCAAATCCCACTTATATTGAAGTTTGAACAGCCAGATAGTATAATTAGTGTTTGTATATTTCATTTGCCTAGTGCACATACCTGCACGTCATTCTTGGATTGTTTTTTTTGTGTTTATTAAATTTTTTGTACCAATTTTTGTAGTGTTTAAGTAATTTTTGAAAAAATTAACATTTTCGTAGGTTAATCTTAGAAGTGTGCCAACCCGTTCAACTAAGGACAATCGAATTAGCTAATTTTGAACTATTCTCATCACGTTTGAAGTCTTTTAGAGTTTACGCTAGTGATCGGTAAGTTATTAAAAATCATTTTTCAAAATCTGTTAAGCCGAATATATTGAGTCAGTTAACAGTTACTTGTAATTGTAGGATCGGTATCATTACAAGCTGATATCTAAAATTCAGTTTCGAGCTTGTTTTCACTCATTGTCATGCGTTGTAATTAGCTTCAATGCAACATTGAAGTTTCAAATTTCATCGCAGTGGAATTCCATTGGCTATTGTTCCATTTAAAGACTAGTTTGTTGATCATAGATCGGTACCCGACACTTGTTCGAGGTTACTTCTTTAGTCTATAATTATCATGCTCACATATTATTTACTCAAGCTTGACAACAGTTTACAGTGGCTGACTATCTGACATCGAGTCTGAAAAATGTTTTCGAATACTTTTCTAAAGCATCCTTTTTTGTTAGCTTTGATGAAATGAATTATTGCGAAAACTTCCTCAGCGGTTTCATTCCAAGCGTATGCACAGGTTGACGAATATGTGTATAGATGGTCGGATGCTGAAACAGTAAATTTATGTACTTTAAAAATCCTCATTAAGTCATAAAACAAAAGATGTTTAGCGGAGAGTCACTCTTTTCTGCGATATCATTCTCGAGCCTATAAATATTCTATTCAAATGGTAACAGCAAAAGAATATTTCATAAGATATTTTTAAATGAAATTAAGCTTTGGTTGTAAATCAGGAGATAGGAAGAAGAATTACGTAGTGCTTGAAATAGTAATGAGAAGAAAACCTAAGGGAAACGAAGCAGTATTCAGTTACTAAGTTGACTGATGTAATATGGTTAAGGGATTGCAATTGAATTTAATGAGAAATCAGATTTCGAAGGGGTGGAAGAGTATCATGTGTGAAAACAAAGATTTTCAGGGTAAAATATTCTTACAGGTAATGTCCATTGCGACTCAAGTGACTGGACAAATTTTTTTGAATGTAGAGTTGAGGCTTCAAAATATATATTGCCATGGCTTTCGAAATTTGAAGAAGTTTAAAGTGTACACCTTTCAAGAGGCTTGCATGAACTCTATAGATGACATTGAAGTTGTTTTCTGTGTTAATAGGTTGCTTATAATAAATCAAATGTTCTAAAATAGCGCTGTGAGATGCTCTCCTTGGCCACCTCGATGTGTTTATCAATTCACCCGCTCCTATGGAGCAAGGTTTATTGGCCGTACTCTGCTCGTTTCTCAAACGCGTATCCGAATACATACTACCCTGGTTCCACAAAGGAGAAAAACACCACCTTACAGAGCTATTTTAGAGCATTTGATTTATTATAACCAACCTGTTAATGCAGAAAAAAGACTCACATCAAAGTAAACAAAGTTGTGTAAGACAGTGAACAGTGTGAAGGTAAAAGTTAGTCCGAATATTCAAGCTTTAGAAGATGTCAAGGAATGAACACATCTGCACCGCTGCGACAGATTTGCAGGCATTTCACCAAGAATTCTCAACCACTGCTCCCTATTATCTTGGGGACCCCAGGTAGCTAGCCTACATTACTCCACCACGCTGAGAGACCAACAGGAAGATAATTCGCTGGCTGGTGCCATATCTGTTCTGGTCTGACCACCCTGAATCTTCTTCTAACCTAATCCAGTTTCACCTAGCATGGCATGTGAAGGTAGGCGGTGGCTCAACAAGTGCAACACATGTCTAAGATACCTCAGCCGATGAAAGTTTACAACGTCATCGATCAACTTGCCTATCTCCCCTAGCATCCTTCACCTGACCTGAGAAAAATTGAAATTAACTAATCAAAATACATCATTTAGTACATTTTGAAAATTATTTTGTACATACAATTGTAGATATCCTGCAAAGTCCTGGGAGTTGATCGGAACATTCGCTGCTCGAGATGTTAAAGGTATCCAGTCTTTCAGTGTTACAAGTGGGAAAATGATTAAATATGTTAAGGTAAGCTGAAAATTGTAGAAAATTAGGATTCGTTTATGCACTTATTTATTCATATGTACACTTGTGTTTGAATGTATAAACCATTTGTACTATGTGAATGTTAACAGTAGTACTGAAGACAGGTACAATGTAGTGGAGGGATTGTTTGCTGAAAAACTGCAGTCGTTGTTGATAAAAGTACTAAAGCTTACATGAAGTCATACTAATGAACAATTTCCTTTTCAGCATCCATGCGTCTAGTGTTATTATCCTTCGTATTTTTACTCAGTAGTTATTATGTATCAAGGCATGTTTCACCTACACTCCAAACAGCCTAAACTGCAAGGAACACTATTTATAAAAATATATATGAATAGTATAGATATACATATATATCCATACTACTCATATGTAGTTTTATAAGTAGTGTTCCCTACAGTTTGGGCTGTTTGGAGTGAAGTATGGGTGGAACATGTTTTGATACATGATAAAAAAAAATAACAGTGGAATTCAGCAACTATTTTCAAGTGCAACATGGTGGACAGACAGATAAACCAACTCAGAATCTCGCACAGAAGTGGATCAGTTCAAGTTTCCGCATTTCACAGCAGCAAGCAGGGAAGAAGTGAATAAGAAAAGGGTGGTATTAAAGTGGAAAAAAGTGTATAAGATGAAGGAGAATAAATAGATAAATATTCATAACTTCGAAGATGACAAAGAATATATACATCCGTGCTACGGTGACTGATTTCGAGCGATATCTGTCCTTCCACGTGTGATATTACAAAATAACCGCCAAATAGATGAAGTGGCTTTCGAATCCATAATCCCCTATTTGAAGGGTGTATATTTGAGACGAGCCACAGCTCTATATCAATTTACAACCTATATCAGAAACTGGAGTACGTCAAATCTGTACAGTATGAGTTTCGTGTAGTCTATTGGTATCATTATCATTATTATTATTAGTCCCTTGGGTTCCTAATGGAACATAGGGCTTCAGTAGCACGTCTCCAGTGACCTCTGTTCTCTGAGATCTTTTGAACCTGGTTCCACGACAGCCCACAACCTCTCATTTCCTCCTCGCACGACCTCCTCCATGTCACCCTCGGACGTCCAACCCGTCGCTTCCCATGGGGATTCCACTCGAGCAACTGGCCTGACGCGTGATGTCCCCGGTCGGCCTTCTCAGTGCATGCCCAATCCATCTCCATTTCCTCCTACATATTTCTTGACTGATAGGTTCTTGGTTGGTTCGTTCCCAGAGCTCCTTGTTGCTTATTCTTTCTGGCCATCTCATCTTCAGTAGCAAGACAGCGTAAGCAGTTGTTGATGAATGTCTGTAGTTTATTGGAAATCCCTTTCGTGACGCGCCAAGTCTCTGAGCCATACAGAAGCACTGACTTGACGTTGGTGTTGAAAATCCGTATCTTGTTCCATATGCTGAGTGCAGAAGATCTCCACACTGGTTTCAGGCTAATGAACTCCTGTCTTGCTGTTTTTCCGATTCTGACTTTGAAGTCCTCGTCCGTCCCGCCTGTAGTTGAAACAGTGCTTCTTAGATAAGTGAAGGAGGTTACTTCCTTTAAGTTTCTCCCGTTGATGGTAACTGGAGTTTGTTGATGTTGTTGGTGCGGTATCTTCGTCACCTCTGTCTTCTGTATATTCACATTAAGTCCCGTCTTCGCTGCCTCTTCTATCAACTTGTTAGTTTTCGCCTGTAGATCTTCAAGTTTGTGTGACATCAGACACAAGTCATCGTTGGCGAAATCCAAATCTTCTAGGTTCTTTTCCGCAGTCCAGCCAGCGTATCCCCCTCTTCTCGCTGCCCACTGTTTGCTGCATGACCCAGTCGACCACAATCAGGAATATCATGGGGGATAGTAGGCAACCTTGTTTCACTCCTGTCTTCACTTCAAAGGCATCATTGAGCTTCCCATTGTGAATCAGTTGGCATATGGTATCTTCATATAGTTGTTGAATGAGGTGGATGAAGGTTTGCGGTACTCCGTAGTAATGAAGCGGATTCCAAATTACCTCTCGGTCGACGCTGTCAAAAGCCTTCTCAAAGTCGATAAAGTTGAGGTAGAGAGCTGATTGCCATTCTATACTCTGTTGTATGATGATGCGAAGCGTTGCAATCTGGTCTGCACATGATTTGTACTTCCTGAAGCCTGCCTGTTCCGGTCGTAGTTTTGAATCCAGTGCATCCTTAAGCCTCTCCAGGATGATGCGGCTTAATATTTTGCTTGCTCTGGGTGGACAGGAGAGTGATTCCTCGCCAGTTCTTGCAAACACTGAGGTCTCCTTTCTTCGGCAGTTTGACAAGGTAACCATTCTTCCAATCGCCAGGTACCTTCTCTTCCTTCCACACCTTCTGCAATAGTGGTGTGAGCATGTCCACTGTTGTCTCTGCGTCTGTTTTCAGTGCTTCTGGTGGGATCCCATCTGGTCCTGCTACTTTCCCACATTTCAACATTTTTGTAGCGTTGAGGACTTCCATTTTCGTTGGAGGATTTATGTTCACTTGTAGTTCTGTGACTGGGCTGCAGGTGGTAATTCTGGACGAAGTGCAGGTGGTGGTCTATTCAAGAGCTTTTTGAAGTGGTCGGCCCATTGTTTCCTTTGTTTATCTTCTTTTGTAATTAAATTTCCTTCTTCATCTTTTATTGGTTTCATCTGTGTTGGTCTCTTCCCTGATAGTAACCTGGTTATTTGATACAATGTTGTCAGGTCTCTGCCTCTCCTACCGACAGCCAACTGACGTCTTATCCAGTGTTGATTGAAGTTGTCTGTAGAATTCCTCCTTTTTCTCTTGCTCTACATTATTTGTAGGTTCATAGCATTGTATGGTTGTGACCTTCCTTCCTTTCGAGTTGAGTCTTGCTGCCGTGATCCTGGAGGAGATTGGTTCCCACTGTATGAGAGCCTTCGATGCTCTTGAGGACATCATGATAGCCACTCCAAAACTCAGTGTTCTCGTGGTTGTCGTCTAGGTGACGACATCGGAGTAGATTATTGATTCTCCAGTTGACAGTTTGCAGAGTCCACTCCCATTCCGTCGACTTTCGCGAATTCCAAGCACTTCGATGTGATACCTTCTCATCTCCTTTGCAATCTGGGCTGCCTTACTGGGTTCAAACATCGTACGGACATTCCATGTCCCCACGTTTACTTTCGCTTTCATCGATAGGGAGAAGACACATCGGCCAATTGGCTTCCCGAAGGCTTTAACCAACTGGCGTCATTTCGCCTCTCCGATTCCAGCGAGGAATAAGTTTGTTTTCATTTTTTATACTTTGTTTGTGCTTTGAAGCTTCTTTAGCGGTTAGATTTGTTTTACGGGGTAGGGTTGTTAGCCCTATGCCCAACCTTCCCTCTTTACCCGGGCTTAGGACCGGCTAGTAACTGGTGAACTAGTTAACCAGGCGAGGTTTGTCTATTGGTAGGTGTTAACAATTTGGTCATGTTCAATAATTGCTAGTTGTGAATTTTTTCACTATCACTAAAATATTGTTATACTTAGTAGTGGTGAAGAAAGATACTCCTCCAAGGGTTACACTAAACCACACTTATCTATAGTTTGTTGACTTTTTGTCTGTGTTTTTTCTCTCACATGCCATGCCTAGACTTTATTTCACGTGATAGTAATGACGTATGATTACCATCTAGAGATTTATGTGTTTCTGAATGATGAGATTGCTGCACTTAAATAGACTGCATGTATTATTAAATAAAAGTCGCATCTGTCATAGTCTTCTTATCTTTTCTCTGTCATGGATAGACTGGGTGAGGATTCTCGTTGCATCAACTGAATTCTTATCGTTGTGGTGTAAATTACTGCACTATGATGGGGGTCTGAGGGAGAAGTCGTACTGCTGCTAGCTGGATTCGGGTGTGACAGCAGTAAGGTGTTTCCCTTCGATGACCAGCAGTGCCATGCTGATGCTACCTTCTCAGTGAAAGGCAGGGGGGTAGGGGGCTAGAAAAGGTCGGCCCCAAAAATAACACACTCCACCACACCCCACGGTCTGCCGGGTCGGCGGTGTTGGTTCACTTGTCGTTTCCTTTCGACTATCTGGCCCGAAAAATACAAAAGTTCAAAATAATCATACACAAAAGGCTTCGTGTGACAGGTCTCAAGCAGATGTCCGATGGGCTCTGCGGTCACACAAATCTCTTTCAGGTACCTTAAGAAGAAATAGCCTTCCACGGTGTGGGCAGCCGGGAAGTGTCAACCGTCCTCACAACTCTGTCAGCACTCAAGTTTCTTCTGACTGCTATCCACCTCTTCCATCATTACCTTCTAATCTTCCTTCACGTCTCTCAATTAACGATGCTGCATCATCTTCAATTTCTCCTACCTCTGCAGCCTTCGACAACGATCTGAGTCCACAGAACAGCATCACCGGTCTCCTTAAACCACGCTCCAAATTACATATTGGAGCCTTCAATGTCCGCACCCTCCATCAAATTGGTCAACAGGCTTCGTTAGCAAAGACTCTAGCAACTCGGGGCATGGATGTGTGCTGTGTTTGTGAGACACGCATACAGGACCCAAGTGTGGTTATTCACCTGACCTCTCCTGACCAATCTGGTGAATCCGCAAAATTCACCGTTCGAGTTTCTGGAGATTCGACGACTAGCTCTCATGGTCCTTCGGGTGTGTGCATAGCATAAAGCACTAGGACAGAAAGCTCACTACTAGACTGGATCCTAGTTGATAGTCGCCTCTGCGCTATCCGACTGAATGGCAAAGTAGAAACTAAAAAGAATAGTGAGACTCGCCGCTGTCGTTTTGTAATTTCTGCTTACACACTCACTGACTGCAGCTCGGACAAAGTGAAGAATGAGTTCTACCGTAAACTGTCTAGCCTCGTATTGAAAGCCAAACATTCGGAAGTGGTGGTCGTTGCAAGTGTTTTCAACGTACAGGTGGGTAGACTGAGTGAAACAGAAAGGCACTCAGGTGGCGCTTTCAGAGTCCCAGCTGAACGAACAGATAACGGTGATCGCCTACTACAATTGGGCTCAGATAACCACCTATTTTTAGCTAGCACAAATTTCAGACATAAAGAAAGGCACTGTCTGACCTGGCGTCCACCGAACTCAACTCAGCGATGGACACAGATAGACCACATTGCTATTAGTCATCGCTGGAGAGGACCGGTGGAAGACTGCCGCTCCTTCTGGAGAAAGTGTTTGGACAGCGATCATGCGTTAGTCCGAGCACATATATGCCTGCGTCTCAATGGACGTAGAAAAAATTTGGCAACAAAACCACTATGAGTGCTGCTGGAAAACGGAAACACCAAAGCCGTGTTCGGTGAGAAGTTGACTAGTCAGTTATCGGAAAAAAAGACTGTCACTCATCCAGAAGAAGCTTGGTGCCTTCTTCAGTCTGCTGTAAAAGCAGCGTTGAAGACTGTAGCTGACTCCAAAATAGTGGCTAAGAAGAGCCAGTGGATATCAGCAGCTTCTTCCGAACTAATGGATGCACGTGAATGCATCCCTTCAGGCCCTGAGTACAATGAAGAGCGAGCGCAACTTAAAAGTAGACTGATGAAAAGTCTGCGCAACGATCGCGAACAGTGGTGGGCAGCGAAGGCTAAAGAGATGGAAAAGGCAGCGGCGATCGGTAATAGTAGACAGTTATTTAGACTTATTGAGGAGACTGGGGGAAAACATCAACAACAGTTAGTGAGGCTATAGCAGAGAAGGACGGATCTGCTATTCACTCGCAGAAGAGACGACTGGAACTATAGGTAGGACACGTCGAGGAACAGTTTAACTGGCCTCCAGCCACCATTGCGTTGCCCGCTATCCAGTCGGATCCTGAATGGGACATTGAATTTTCATCTACTGAGATGGTTGAGACACGTGCTACGCATGCTTATTCGCCGATTGCTTCGTCACACAATGTTGGCCGAAGTAGGTCCAGGCTGGAAAAAGGCCCAAGGTGGCCAGACTGAAACATGGCACCAATGTATGAACTGTTTGACTGTTGGTTTGAGGCTATGCAGACTAGGTAGTTGGGGTTGGCGGGATAAGAGGAACCAGTGGTTGGAAATCGACTCTCGGTGATATGGCTGAGAATTGATGTGAGTGGTGCAGGTGTATATACACATTATCCTCATCTTAACGCCGCTATACTGAATCTCACCATTTTCTCATCCTTCCTTTCTCTCTCTTCGTACTTTATATTTCTTTGGACTGGATTTTCTTATCTTCATCTTGCACCTCACTGCCTTTTTACTCGATGTGCTGATATGAGGTGTGGCAACTGGGAGCGTTGCGCAGTAATGCCTGGTCCTATGTTGATGTGGATGGATTCCTGCTGATGAAGTTGACATGTACAGTTGTGTGACAATCTTGTTGAAATGTCTGTGGATAAATAACCTTGCTGAAACTGGTTAATATAGTTTGTACTTAACCTTCATACACTGTTCGATTGTCATCAGCTGTTTTTCACACTGGTCTCTTGTCGATGCTGTCTTCTAATGGTTTTATGCATACTGGTTTGTGATATGATGATGGTGAATATTCACATTTAAGTACTGTAAAGCCTAGCCCACAGAGCCTTAGGTAAAAGTGAAACTGTAAACCTTCATCTATTTAGGTCACTGAGACATGTATTACTTATTCTAGTCACTACTCACTGTTAGCTGAAGTACGGTTAGGTTCGAGCAGTTTGGCCAGCAGTTTATGAAGTCTCAGAGTGTTTATGCGAACCATGTAAGCAGATTTAAACTTACAAGTCTGGGTCCCCAAAACAGCTGAAGTCGATGGGTAGAGATTGTAAGTGATATAACTTTGAATGGATAGTAGTGGTTACAATGTCTTCACATTTTATCTTCAACCTTTTTACCGCGTTTCGTTGTTCACCTTGATTTCTCTATTTAGGAAATCTTTTTCCACCACTATTGCGTTGTTACCATTTCTTTTTTCCACCTTATTACCTTTTATTTTGATGTGATGGTGTGACATATAGTGACTCTTGGTGTTACGCAGTAGTGCAGGGTTCCATGTTACTGACAGGTTGTTTACTGCTTAGATTTCTCCTATATCTTTGTACTGTTAAAAGGCTCTGTAAGCTTGAGTTCTGATAAAGATTACGTTTTTAAGTCCACGTTTCCTTCCCTTGTAAGTTTGAATTAATTGGCTTGATGAACAAATATTACTACACTGAATTTGAGAATATGGCTCCAAGTGAAATGTGTGCTTCACAAACCAATAACTCATCGTCGTCTTAAGTTAGGGAAATGACGGTAAACTTGGTTGGTGGGATTCAGTTGATATTGAGGAATTGTGATTCTATGACAGATGGTTATTGATGCAAGTGCACGGGAGATTATTCATGACTTAAGCAACTCCATGATGACTTTTCATATAATTGATAGATAGATAGATAGATTAGATAGATTAGATAGATTAGATGAAATTAGATTTGAGTACGGTACTTCCTTTAATTTAACGTAGAGAAGATAGAGGTAATGAATGTAGGTAAGGAACGGCAACAACGCCGAGAAGAAGCACCGATCACCATGAACGAGATAAGTCTGGAGGAAGTCATCTCTTTCACCTGCCTTCCTAGGCGTTATTGTTTGAAGTACAGGGGGCACCGGGGGCAAAGAGGAGAATGTCAAAGGAACCAGAATCGAAAAGACAGCAACATAGGCCTTCCTGCATTGTTCTGAACTCAGTGTGGTGATCTACCGCGCTGCACTCCACTCAGCATAATGTGTGAACAAGATCGTGATTTTCAACACTAATGTCAGTCAAGTGAGTGCTTCTATATGATGGTTGAGAGAATTGGGGCGTTCCGTCAAGCATTTCCGACGAACTGCAGACACATCAGCAGCTGTCACCTACGCTCGATACTGAAGATGAGATGACCAGAATAATAAGAATAAGCAAGAAGGAACTCTGGCACCGAACCAACAAACAACCCATCGCCCAACAAATGTGCAGAAGAAAGTGGAGATAGATTAGATTGGACATACACTGAGAAGACCGTTAGGGGGCACCACGCGTCACTACAAGCCGTTGAGTTGAACCGGAAGGGAAACAACGAGTTGGGTGTCCGAGGCGAGGGTGACATGAAGGAGATCGTGTGAGTACGAAATGAAAACTTATGGGCAGTGGTGGAGTCAGGTTGTAAAGACTGTAGAGAACAGAGTAGAATGGAGACGTGCTACCGAAGCCCTGTGTTCCACTAGGAACCCAAAGGACGAATAATAAAATAATAAAATAAATTCTAGCCAACATTACACATTGTTGTAGGTTGTAGTCGTGTGTTTGTCGTATATTTTGGTCGCCTTAGTTCGTGTAACAGAATTTGACTACACTGTCGACACATTCTCACCCGAACTTAATATTATGATCTCTTTGGTTACGCACTGAAAGCTATCTTCTAAAAATATTAGCTGTCTGATGTCCGTATTCATCGGCCACTTTAACTTGTACGTTTAGTTTTGGTATCCATTATTCATACTGTTATCAATAGTTTTATACGCAAACGGGATCTTTAAATATCAATAAGTGCCTAAGTCTCTGACTTTTTTAATCGGTTAATTCATACTCAACTTGGAATGTAGTTCAATAGCGAAGTTCATTTCCTACCCTTCCTGCTATATATTATGCCTACACTTGAAAGTTCGAGAGAGTTTGACCAATAAATCTTCAAACAACTGAATAGTTTTATAGCCTTATTGTATCAACTTAATTGATTTTCTTATGTGAAAATAAACTCAGATTCTTCGACTTGTAAACTTATTGTCTCAACTGAACAATCACCAGTATATATCTTTCACAGTAGTCTTCCGAAATCGTCGTCGATTAAAGACCTATTGATTAGCAAGCAACGCTGGGTACTTGTTACGCCCGAGTATGCGTCTTACTAATGCAGATGATGACTGTGAAATGTAGCTATTGGCTGTTAGGTCATACATTGGTTGAGATTTCTTTCAGCAATGTGTTAGAATCTGTCGATGTATGTTTTCCAACCTCTAAATTTGATAATAACTTTCTTAAGCGTCGTTTATGTAGATCCGGTTGCACACCTTTGAGAAGTGTTTCTTCACTAAACCACTTATTTATTCTTTTATCTTGGTAAGGGATCTTCCGTGTATCATAAAGGCAACGAATATTCATGATGCTAGAAGCTGGTATTTCAACTGGTGTATTGTTTACGGTAGTAAGGGATCTTGGTGTTGAATACCTGGGAATACAGTTTCATATGCTAGAATTTCTGTTGTAGGTGTCAATGTTTCCTGAATTAGGTTTTGGCTGCAAAAACGTTAGAGGCGGCCAGACTAAAAAATGTCATCACTGCATGAAGTTTCTTACTGTTGGTTGGAGTTGTGTAAGAAAATGTAGGCTTCCCGGTTGGGATCCGTGTGTCAACAGGAACCAATGGTTGGGGAGACTCCAGGTGATATAGGTCAGAATCGATGTTACTGACGCAGATGTATCCACACATTATCCTCGTTTTAGTGTTCTTACTGAATTCAGTATTTTATTTTTATTCCATCCTCTTTCTACCTATCTTCTGCTTTTGACCGATTTTTCATTATTTCTCTTTTATCTTAGTGCTTTCTTTCTTGATGTATTGATGTGAGGTTTGGCAACCCGGATTTTTATGCAGTAATGCCAGGTCCTATATTGGTTGTAATGATGATTATTGTAGGTATCTATGACATTACTGATTTTAAAATTTCTGTTTTATTCTTTAAAATACTGTTAACTCTCTCATATTAGTGATCTTAGTCCATAATATCCGTCTAAGAGTTTTGTTTTTATAGTAATCATTACATTCTACATGTGCCTGTTGGGTAGATATAACTGGTCCCTATTTATTAAGTAATCATTGCTCACTCTCTATATTCTTCTTCTGCTTATAATTTATATTTATAGTTTGAATTAACTGAACACTATGGATCAGAGCACTATTGTCCACTAACCATGATAAGAATATTTGGTTTAGGTTCTGATGATTTGGATGATGATGACGATGATGATGATGCTGTTGAAGTTGGAGTGATGAATATACCGGTAACGGGTAACCGTGAGCCTGTTATTGTCGTCACAAACGTGAAAGATCAACCGCTTAGTTCAGATCATTTCCCTAATGTTGAAAGTGAAGCAGTTAAGCTTGACAATAAGACAGGTATGCTTTTTTTTACTCAGTATTTCTTTAAGAATTTGTCTTTGCGGTTACTGTAGTCTTAGCTTATCAGTATATGTGATACATTCTCCACCATTATTGCATAACAGTTGGATTTTGTTTATGGTCAATTATGTGCGCACACTGTTCACTTTAGTTGGAACAAAAAGATAAATTAAGCAGACTTTGTATAGCACATCTGAGTACACACTTATGTTTAAGATAAAAATAATTACTTGGTAATCGGTATTGATTAGTGATTAAAATATTTGAATGAATATGTCGCTGATTTGTAAAATTATCAGTATTATAATACTAGTGTTATTCACTTGATAGCGCCTTTCATTCTGCATGAGATGAATGTACTTTGAATATACCTACTTCTTTATTGACTGATAATGCTATCATGGAAACTTCAAGATAATAGTTGTATTCTTGGTTGTATTGTATTCTCTGAGCTGGGTTGTTTGATCGTAGAGCTTTCATCGTCTTTCTAGACAGTGACATCATTAGCACTTTATCAGAAGATGCCTATCCCGTACATCATCAACTACAAAGTCATCGACAGAAATCCTACCATACATAAAGAATATATCAGAAATCACAACGAGATTACTGAGACCACTTGGTATTGGTGTGGCTCATAAATCAACAAAGGCCTGCTTAAACTCTGGGCTACCTTTTTTATCACCGAATATATTGCATCAAATTTCTCATTTCTATATTTTTTTAATCGTTCAGTTACTTCAACCAATCGTATTGTATACTCTCGCACGTTTTTAAAATCCTTACAACCTATCGCTTCGCAAGTTGATAGGAAATTTAAGAAGAAGCACTACGGTGGATGGCAACGGGCTCTAAAGCGTATGACCATAGATCAAATGACTATTCCGGAAATACTTAGCACAAACTGCAGGTCGTTGCCGAATAGAGTTTATTACCTTCAGTCATTCTTGTCCACAAATGTTTATTGAAATACGGGTATAATAATGCTACAGGAAACATGGCTTCATAATGATGATGATTTAGTCTGCTCAGATGGTTTCAAATTATTTTGACAAGATCGTAGCTTTTCGAAGAAGAAACGTGGTGCTGGTGTAGCAACATTTATTAGTGCAAACTGGTCCTCCTCCAACTATGTGTGCTTCTGCTTCTCTAACGAAAAAATTGGGTGCATTACCATCAAATGTCGTCAAATACAAATACATATATATGACAAACATGTTATGTCACACCTGACTGCAGTTTCTCAGATTTGTCAACTTTTGCTGATAAATTCACTGAATTTGCCGATCCGGTTCTGGGAAACTCCTTGTCTATTGTCTATGGAGATGTTAACCCATGTGACTGCAGTTTTCTGTTATCATTGGGTCATAAAAATATGGTTAACTTTTCCACTCGTCTTGACAACACCCTAGACTTTGCATTTACAAATGAACCTGGTATATACGAAGCCCATAAACGGGCTCTGCTGCTAAATTCCGATCACTGTATTGTTTGTGTTTTGCCTAAAGTGTACGGCAAATTATACAAGAAAGCTTTCGGATACCTTTCCAGGAAAGTTCAATACAGATGCTATTCACAAGAAAATATATTACATTTGAGAAGCATGTTTATAGAAACGGACTGGGATATATTTGCTGATGAAGTTTTAGACAACACTATTACCAATATCACAAGCTATCTCATTCTGTTTCGATATCTGCTGCCCAACTGAAACAATTTACATGAGATCTGACAGACTTTCTTCTCTTCATCTCAAGAGGCTCCGGAGAGAAAAGGAAAGGTTGTATAAGGCAAGAGATCACCCTGGCATTAAAAGGCTTAACTACCTAATTAAGCCTGAAATACAACGTCTGAATACTATGTACAGCCAGAAGACCTTACTGGTAAAAAACAGATAACAAAAGAAACTCGTTCGGATGTCTGTGCGTTAAACAAGTCATTTACACGTTGGCAAACTAATTTCACCATTCCTAATGTCCAAAATCAAGTGGATAGATGCTTTCCATGTTTTGATACAATTGATGTATTTAAATGTCTAAAGTCTTTGAATCCCTCCCAAAGCTTAGGTCCTGACGGTGTTTCTAATATCATATTTAGAAAATGTGCAGATATTTTGTGTCATCCACTTACAGATATCTTCAATGTATCGTTTTCTAAAAACATAATACCCACTGCTTGGAAGCAGATAAAAGTTGTACCTGTGCCTAAGCCATCTTCTGGATCAGATGTTACTTTTCGACCCATCACTATAACTTCTCCTTTTCTGAAGATAGTGGAGAAATTACTTCTCCTTGTGATTGAGCCTTCATGATGGTCTTCAGAGATCCAAAACAGTTTGCTTACAAACACCGGAGGAGTGCTTTAGATGCTGCCGCTGTCTTACATCATAATATTGTTTCTAGTATCGACAACGGTGTTAAGTATGTTCGTTGTGCCTTTTTGGACTACTCATCAGTCTTTGACTCTGTTCCTAGACCACTTTTGTTAAATAAGCTTGCCATAGCTCACACTGATCCATGGGTTACAAAGTGACTGCATTCTTATTTTTCTGGAAGGAAATAGTACACTATCCATAAAGGGATGCACTCCACTTCATTGCTTACTGAAGCTGGTGTGCCTCAAGGTACTGTACTTTTTCCTTTTCTGTTTTCGTTTTTTTTGCACGATTTGCCTTATTCTGTTGAAACTAATTTTATCAAGTATGCTGATGACCTGATGGTTTCTATTCCAGTCAACTCTTCCTTGGACTGGTCTAAATTAAATGAATTCTTGTCAGAAATTGGCAAATGGTCTCAGACTAAACCCCTCTAAATGTCAGACTGTTAATTTTAGCCTCAGGCGTAAACAAGACTTATGTGAGCTGCTTAAATCTCATGACGCCTGCTGCATCAATGGTATTTCTGCAGAAAGTAAATTGAGCATGAACTATCTTGGGTTGCGTTTTACTTCTGACCTTTGTTGGTTGTCCTATATTTTATTGACTTGTAAAAAAATCTTTCGTTTAACTTATTACATTGAAGAAACTGAGGCTTTCTGGTATAACTCAACTGCTTCTTTTACAATTTATTAATTCCTGCATTTGACCTATTCTTCTATATTGTTCCCCATTAATCTTTCCTGGTCTTCTTAAAAAGGACTATGTTATGTTGCGTAGGGCTTTGAAGACCGTCAGCAGGGTGAGTGGTGTGTCTCTGGCTCAACTGATTAACACTGTAGTTGATCGACATATAAATTCCTGCAAGCAACTAGCTACAGAAATTTTAACTGACAGTGAGCATCCACTTCATTCACAGCTCTCTCCATGTATCTCCTTATGGAGGACAAGGAGAGACTACATAAGACTGTATGCTCGTACAGCTAAGTATAAGAATTTGACTGTACCTTACCTTGCACGCATATTTTGTGAGGAAAAAAGTGTTAGAACAGAAATTACACATCAACTTTGTGACAGTTAAAAATCTCATTTCAATGATTTAACTTACAATGCAAAATTTTCTGGTTTTTAATATTCTTCATATAAATTTTTATGATAAAACAATTCAAAAGGCTGCAAAGTAGTATGTATATACTTATATTTTGTTGTTATTGCAATATATATTACACTGAGAATTCCAAATTGTACCACAAATTGTTTGGAATAATCTGAGTTATTATTATTATTATTAATAAATCCCCTCCAAACACTACTATGCAGACCAAAGAATGCAGTAACCAAAGAAGACAAATCGAATATCATTTACAAAATCAACTGCAATAGCTGTAGTCAATACTATACTGGACAAAGTGGTCGCCCTCTTCGCCTTCGTCTACATGAACACCAATTGGCTATTAAACGTCACACACATCTCATCACTCATTTCAATGCACGTGGGTAATTATGGACATGAGTTCAATTTCTATAGTGTAAAAATCTTGGGAAGAGTGGGGGAATTAATGATGGCTAGCAGTGGAATCCAGGATGCGCATTTCGTCCTATTTGAGTGTTGTTCTCACCGGTATTCGGACTCGGGAGCGATCGCTACAAGAGCCAGAGCGTTATCCACTACACCACCAAGCCACGATAGCCACTTCTTGTGCGACGGGTATAGTTTTAGTATAATTGTTTTTATATCATACGGTTGTTGATTGGACCGAATTGATCGGTCTCTATTGGCATATGGGCTCCTATGCGGATTCCTCGATACTACCTGTGTTCTAATCATATTAATGATGGATCGTGGCACAAGAAGTGACTATCGTGGCTTGGTGGTGTAGTGGATAACGCTCTGGCATTTGAAGCGGTCACTCCCGAGTCAGAATCCCGATGGGAACAGCATCACTCACTGGGAAGCAGGTGCGTCTATTTGACGAGTCCCAAATAGGACGAAATGCGTATCCTGGTTCCCACTGCTAGCCATGATCCACGATTAATATAATTAGAGCACAGGCAATATCGAGGCATCCGCACAGGAGCCCATTTGCCAATAGAGACTGATTAATTCGGTCCAATCAACGACGGTATGATATAAAAATAGTTATACTAGAGTGAGGTCATACTAAGAATAACAGACAATTCCTGGAAGTTTGACATTCAGGTCAGTCAGTCGCCACTGAATAGATGTATAGACATAGACCCAATTTACCAACGAATGAGAAAAGTGATAAGCGAAAGAAAGGTCAGAGTTCAAGGAGAGGAACAGCCAACAGGAAAGTCTATATAGTCAGTGACACAACAAGCAAAGGAAACAATCAATCACAAACCAGTTGGTCATGGCAAGCTACTAAATCACTTACGGAGAGATACTGACAGCTCACTTCATACTGGAGTTACTCCTGATGATGTCGTCTAGCAAGAGGATGAAAACTCTATGACTTAAGAACCTAGCTCAGAGAAGACAATACAACCACGATCATCCACCTGAACTAAAAATATTCTCCACCAGTAGTTGTATCCTTACCATAATAATAATAATAATAATAATAATAATAATAATAATAATAATAATAATAATAATAATAGTAATAATAATAATAATGATAATGTTTTAAGCAGTGTTTATTATCATAATGATTTCTCAATTTTAATATGTTTATATTAATAGTTGCGATATACTTAATTTACTGAAATATACTACTAAATTATTTTTAAAATTTTACTTTGCAAATATAGACGAGGGATTTGAGAGTACAAACACTCGCATGGATGATATACATAGTGCCTCAGATCCGAGTATTTCATCTCAACCAACAGAAGATGATAGTCATATTCCATCCTTTAATAATGAAATCAATACTAACCTACTATATAATCATACAAAGTCTATCAACTCTGAATATGTTGCACCATTTTTACCTTTATCAACGCCTGAACACAATCCTAATGCTGTTCAAAATCAAGCTGATATGAACATGGATTCATCTAGTGATCATTCAGCGATGTTCAGTGCAGACACTTCTGCCAGTTCACCTCACATTCAGCATAAAGGTGCTGTAGATTCTTCAAAAGGCGTCAAAAATCTACATCTTTCCAAAGAGACAAATTCTGGGTTCTGTCGGAATGACAAACTATTTCAACTACTAAAGGACAAACCGTACTGTCCAGGTGAGTTCTTTCGTTTGCATTATCAATTCATAACAATGATGAAAACAGTGTTTTTACAATGATGTATATTTTTGATACATCGAATTATTCATGTATTATTTATTGGTACAAAATATGACTTTCATGACTCATGTAGATATAGTAGACAAAGTTGTGTGAAAAAATAAACAATGTGAAGATAAATGTTAGTGCGAGTATCTGAGCTTTATAAGATGTCAAGGAGTGAATACATTGTGACCACCATTGTGACCGATTTTCAGTCATGTCACCAAGAGTTCTCAACCACTGATCCTTTTCGTCTTGGGGATCCCAATGAAGCAGTCTACATCCCTCCACACAGCTCAGACCGACAGTCAGTGACTTCATGAATTGGTCCCACGTCTGTTCTGATCTGATCATCCTGAACCAACTTTCACTAGCATGTAACATAGAGGTGGAGGTAGGCAGTGACTCGGGACACATAATACATGTCGAAGCCACCTGTTACGATGAAGGTTTACAACGTGATCAATCGACTTGCCTGTGTTGACTAGTACCCTTTGCGTGTCGTCAAAATAACTCACACGGTGGTTCCACCAAACGGGAGCAATGGTAGAGAGACATCAGTGATGCAAACGCTGTAATCGCTTTATGTCTTTTATTTTCGAAGGTCATGTGTCAACGGTATAACAGGAGGACTGGTGTGGTGCAATATACTCGTCCTTTTATAGATGGTCGGATATTTATGCAGTCGGTACCACAGATGACGCAAGGCCTTCTGTATCCGAGGTGAGAATTGGTCAGGAACCAGGAAGTTCTGTGGACTGATGCAACTCCTCAAGTCAATGAAGTGGTCGGTGCATCCCACCATTTCACTTCCTTATATGATCTTAATTTTAACGACACTAAATTTGATATCAGCGGTGATTACGAGAGTGATAGCGTACATTGGTGAATAATATACGCATGATATTAGTCTGTTGTAATTTTTTTAAAATTCTGGTCATCATTTTATCATTACGTCAAAGTTGTATATGTATTCTTAGATTGAATTTTGTGTATTTCCCTTTTAGTTACATTTCATTGTGATTATTACTACTCAAATCATGGAAAGCATTGTGCGCCCAATTGTCAAACAACGAAATTGTCAAATCCTGCCGTCCTAGCTTCTCAAAAGCCTCACATTCCTAAAGCGACAACAAAGACTACACCAAAGGTACCTGTTGTGGCGCTCAATCATGGAGTAGTGAGTATTTTGTCCAAAAATCGAACAGCAACTAATCGGAGTTTGCAGTTGCATAATAAACCCTTCAGTCCACGTGTTGATGAAATGAACATATTCTCTCGGTTAATAAGTAAGCATATATTTATGGATATATGAGTGTGTTTATGCAGGATAACGCAGTAAGATTAGTTGTGTCATGAATCAAGCCTTCATTTTTATGTGTAAAACTCACTTTAATTGACTTGCAAGTTACATTTCGTTTGTATTCTTGACATTTCCTAATATGAAAAAAGCAGTAAACGTTATTAAAGCAGGAATCATGTAATTCACAAGTTTCTTTAGCAGCATTGTGCTATATATGTACATACTGTCATGCAGTGGACGAACACACACACATAATACAAACTAAGACATTGAATAAAGCATGGCAACAGAGACTCGAATCGCACCCATTGCCTACTGCACGAATGTGCAGTAGGTAATGAGCCAGACTTATTGTGTATGAGCTGGTGATATTACCTGACTGCCCAGACTATGTTAGGCGGGGTGGTGTTCGAACCAGTGACCTATTGGTTGAAAGCCGTCTCCGCTAACCAATAAGCCACATCTCCACTAAAGGACAGACTATCAACTGTTTTGTTCAAAATGACGTAATTCATTCCTAGTTTTCTTAATCATTACTGTCAATTTATCACCTCTCTGTAACCTATTCAGAGTTCCATTTGACCTGTTTGAGTTATTCATTGTATGTAACCATGCCTCATTCAATGTCTTAGGCTGTATCATGTGTGTTTATGCGTTCTTACATTGCAAAACACTTCATATAAAATCATGTATCATAACCAATATCAACATAGAACTAGGCATTACTGCCTAACAGTTCAAGTTGCCACATCTCATATCAGCACATTAGGTAACAAGGCAATATAATATAAGATGAAGGAAATAAAAACCAGTCAAAGGAAGAAGTAGAAAGTAGTAAAAGAGTGGAAGGAAGAATGAGATGATGAGATTAGGTATAGTGGTTAAGACGAAGATTAATGTGTGTATGCATCTGGGCCACTGACATCGATTGTGAGCCATATCACCTAGAGTCTGCAACCACTGATTTCTCCTGTCCTATGGACCCTAACTGGCTAGTCTGCCTCGCCTTATTTGGCTTAAACGAATAGTCAAGAACTTAATGGAGTGACGTCATGTTTTATTCTGTCCACCCCGAGCCTCTTTCCAATCTGAACCTGCTTCGCCCAACATTATGTCACGGGGAAAACGGTGGTTGGGCATGGGTGACACATGTCCCAGCCATCTCAGTCGGTAAAAGTTAACAATTGCATGAGATGTCTTACTTCTGCTCTCTAAAATTCTACGCCTGACTTCTGCGTTACTCATGTGCTAACACCGTGAAACATGACCTAGGCTACGAAGGCAACGGTCGTCAAATACCTGAAGCCTTCTCATGTCCACTATCTTTAATGGCCATGTTTACTAGCCACAGAGTAGAAGAGAGAGGACTGTAGCACAGTACACTCGATCCTTTATGGACAATTGGATATCGCGGCGTCGCCACAGAGCTGTGGCAACTCAGACCGCTAAACAGTAATGTCTATCCTATGTTGACTTGGATGGATGGATGTAATTCCATTTTAGTCTGTTTGTTAGAAATGCCAAACAGTGAAACAGTATCTATCCTTGACACTATCACTGTGTTGAATTTGTGATAAAAAGTCGGATTGACATTGCTTCGATATGGAACTCTCTGAACTAAAGATGTTGTATAACTCTGCATATTCAACCACCATTGTTACTTTAGGGTTGCTAGCATCCGGTGGAAACACCGGATGTCACATGTGTTTAGGTGTGATAAAGATCGTCAAGCACTGAGTGAGGCTATTTTCAAACATTCACTTCGCTCATTTTGTGAATATCAGCCATGAAATCCATGTATCTCTTCCTGTTACTTGATATTTAACTAGTATTTTCGTGATCTGATCCCTGAGATAATTCTTCAGTTACACTTCGCCTTTAATAAGTTTTTTATGTCGAGGTTGGTGATGGCTGAATTCTTACCACACACAACTATCCAGCAACACAGTACAAGTCTATGTTACTGGACTGTGAGTGAAGTATAGTATCAATGAGTGTTATGCTGCTACCCAGGTTGTCTGGGCAAAATTAAGTTAAACAGGTCTAAAATTAGTGACCTAATAGCAGTCGTTGTTGGTAAGTGTAAACTACGAAGGCACAGCTCAAGATGGTATTACATGCGCGCTCAAGCCGTCCCAGTCGATCTAAGTACATGGCGTCCTGACTGCCTTACGTATAAGCATTAAAACCTCATTGATCTGAATAAATACGAGCATTTTTTCACAGTCACTCTGGTCTTTTCATTTTTATATTTCTTTTTTTGGTTGAGTTTGTGGCTCATTGGGTTAGGTAGTTGACTTTCAACCGTTGAATCATTGTTGCGAACTCTCCCATACTTAATGAAGTTCGGCCAGCCAGTTAGTATTATCTTCCCTGACACAATAGGTATGCCTCGTTGCCTAATTCATGAGCCTGCATTTGATTACTTGACTTCATTCCCTATCTCTTCTTCCTTATATCGGGTATTACTATGACAAGTAGTTATCAGCTAGTATGTTTTTTTTTGAAGATTCTTCTGATTTTTTACGATTGAATTTTTTTCAACACATGCGTATTGGTTTATACTCTACATACTCGTAGCCACCTCGTTAAGGAAAGCTCAACATGCAAAGTAGTCTGTCTATTATCTTTGTGAGTTTATGTAACGATCAAAAATAAATGCTGCTCATTGTTTTGGGTTGAGAAAATATTTCTTGGTCTTTCAGTGGAAAATCAAACTCTTCTTGGCAACTTGTTGTACTTTTTGCGAATTAAGTAGAGAAACATCTATTGTTTAAGTGCTAGTGGTACTACCTGGCTTCTCAAACCTCAGTAGGTGGAGTAGGGTTCGAGCAGGTGACTCCATTGGTTGAAAGTCATCTGCCTAATCCAATAAGTCACAGCTCCACGTCATTTAGTGAAGTTTAAGAGAATTGAGTATAAGCATTCTTAAGTAAGTGTTGAGAATGTAACTCAGTCCTGGGGATGAAACTGTTAGGGTTAGGGTGGCTCTTGTGTACAAAGTTAGCTGTCAGTTAGGCGTGCATATTATATCCCTTCGGAATATATGACAGTTGGCAACAGGTGTTAAAAATGGATGTACAGCGACTAGAAAAATTCATGGAGCAGCAACTGAAGATGATGGAACTGCTTACTGGTCTACGTGTCAATACTTCATCTACACCTCCACTCCATCTTTTTTGGATGATAAAATTGGTACCAGTATTTTGGGGTTTATATACAATCCAGATGCCAACATCACTTTTGATACATGGTTTCGACGATACGTAGACCTCTTAAGAGTTGATTTCGCAAATCAAGACGACGCATGGAAAGTTAGACTTCTACTCCAAAAGTTTGGTCCAGATGAACTGAATAAATATTGTAATCTTTTTCTTCCACAGAACCCACTCGACTGAACATTTGATGAAACGGTAGAAACATTACGGCAGGAGTTTGGAGAAAATCGTTCGCTCTTCAATGCCCGCTGCTAATTCATGAAGCTGGTACTAAATAAAGCTGATGACATCCATACCCAGCTTGGGATTGTGAACAGAGCATGTGAACGATTCAAGTTGAAATCGGTAACAGACGAAAAATTCAAAGTACTCATATTTATATGTGCTCTTCAGTCTCCGAAATTCGCAGATATACTCACCCACCTTCTGAATCGTCTGGAACAAGACCCAAAGCTGACATTGAAAGATATTGGTGAGAAATATCAGCGATTAACTAATATCGTGACTCCTATTGTGTGAGGGCTAGTGATACTGCCTGCTGCCCAAACCTCTGTATGTGGAGCAGTGTTCGAACCTGCGACCCACTGTCGAAAGTCAACTGCCTAAACCAATGAGCCACAACTGACGTTGAAGATATGACTTTCCATCATGATAAGTAGATGATTTTATCAAATAGGCCAGTATTTTACATAAACTTAGATGAATATATAGCTGAGTTGTCACATTCAGATTCAAGTGCTGTGCAAAAAGCGAACGGTGGTTACTGTTACTGTTTCTTTGGTGAAGTGATAGATTGCGCAAACCACTTGTCTTACTCAGGGAGTTGAATGAGACCAACTGACTTAGTTTCTAACAAAATCTCAGCTGGGATATGAAAGTTTTGTTCAGCATTTGCTAACTTACATCATATATGTTGCCTGTGAGATATCCTCTCTCTCCTGTTATGCGGTTGTGAATTATTGCCGTTGAAAGTAGAGGATATGAAGATATTTCAGGTTTCCAAGCACAGATGTCGCTATAGTATTCCTCTCTTATGTTGAATCACTAAATGAGAATTGTGAAGGATAGACGAAAGGTATATGGCAAGGAAAGAAACTTGATCGACGAGGTTGTGAGTCTTCTTTTACTCAAGTGGCTTGGAGATGTATTGCTCATGCCTAGCTAATGCCTACCTCAACGTCTAAGATGCAGTTGAAAGAAAATTTAGAGTGACCGAACCAAGAAATGCACCAATCGATGCAATCTTTGATTGTTTGCCTACTTTAATATCGTTCTTTTTCCGTGGACTTGCATACTGATATGAAGTGTGACAATTTGAACTGATAAGTAAAATCCAACGTTGATTTTATCTATCTATCTGCTGCTGTTGCCCCAACGATAAGTCGGTTTTATTAATCTTCTCTACTAGTTATAATTTATCAGATTTTTTTTTTTGGTCTTGCTTATTTTAGATGCTGTAAAAAATGCGGTGTTTAATGCAATCTCACCGTTTTTCTCATCCATATATGGTAGGTTATCTGTGTCACATTTTAAGTTCATGTTTTTAGTTTCAGTTATTGTTAATTTGTTTATTCCGATGAATTATATACGTAAATATGATCAGATTCTTTAAATGAACTAAATAAATTATAGATGTCTTTTAATGACATAGTTTTTACGGTCTTATATTCTGAGTCTCTTAGTAGATGGTATCATTTGTCATTCAAAATCTCACAGAATCATATTGAATATTGATGACCAATTAACTGACCAAGGTCATACAGGTCAAATGAGTGCACAGTTTGATTTCCAAGTAGATAAAAATTCTCAACAAACTGTTTTTACTTATCGTTAGTATCGTATTAGTTGACAAGTAATATGAATGATGAAAATACGTATAGAACTTGTAAAACAGACTGGCATATTGTAAATTATTCCTGAGGGAAAAATATGGTGTTGTATTGTATTAGTATCCTTTAAAAAGCCTAATATCGTTGAAACATTCCAGAAGTGATTGACGATCAAGAGTGAGATCTGACGATCTTTGTTTAAAATTTTTTTATATACACGTTATTAATTCACGTCATATCTGGTGGATGTGATCATTTTATTATATTCATAAGATTTTCAATGGTTAGCGGTAGGGTAACATACACAAAGAAGCATATCAATTGACTACTGTGAGTGAAATCGTGTAGATTTAAAAGAAAATATTTTATGCAGTTGAATACCCGGTTCACTTATGCTTTGAAAAATTGCTTTTATAACCTCTCTACCATTTTTGTTACTAACCGTCTGATGAATTTTAAAATTCTGAACCTAAGAAATCGTCTGTTTCAAAAGATTGGATAAAATATTATCCAATGACTTAATTTGTAAATTACTCGTGGGCGAGCGTGTTGTGATGCACTTCATTTTTATAACGTAAGTTGCCTCCTCCGTGAATGATGTTATGCTTAATTCCTCAAAATATCAGACGATAAACTTTAGTTTTAGACGTGAACATAAGCTATGTAAACTGCTTGGTTCTCATGATTCCTGTTCTGTTGATAGGTGTGTACTAGAGAATGTTACAAGTGTGAATTGTCTTGGGGTGTATTGTTTTTGTTCAGAATTTTCCTGGTCCTCCCATATCTTACTAATTTCCAAAAGAATCTTCGGCCTAACTTTCCTCTTGCTTTTTATAAACTTCTACATTTTGCCTATTTTCTTCTACTGTTCCGTTTTATTCTCTCATGGGTTACTGAAAATAGACTATGCTATATTGCGTAGAACTTTGAAGACCGTCAGCAGAAATAGTGGTGTACCCATAAACCTTCTAGTTAACTTATGTCAACATCTGGCAGGAGTCATTTTATCAGATGACCAGCATCTTCACTCAAAGCTCTCTACGTGTCGGTCATCTCGAAAGACGAGGAGAAAGTACATAAGACTCTATGCACGTACTACAAAATATAAAAACTTTATAATATCGTATTTAGCTCATCTGCTGTGTGAAGAAAGTATTAGAAATGAACTAACTGATCAACTTCTGTTTTTGAAAGCAAACTAATTGAAGAAGAGCGTTTTACTTTTTATGTATTATGAATCTAATTCCTAATGTGATTGTCTACCTAAGTTAGCTCAGCATTTTGAAGAAAGTTGTAGATAGAGTGAATACTCTTATCTTTTCTCCATTTATTTCATTTACTATGTATACATATGCACTATCTCTATCCAACTGATGCTATTTAATATGCTGAAAATTCTGTAGAGTTTTCTCGAAATATCTTTCAGAATGAAGCCGTTATTCTTTAAAAAAAAACATTGATTGGTCACAAGATCTCAGGACAAATACAGAAGATTCATTTAGCCTTTAGTCAACTTACTACATTTATGGCGCAGGAGAACTATTCAGCCACCTATCAAACAACTGTTATATTCATTCGCTGTTTGAAACTGTTTACCTGTTTTTAGGTTAGTGTTCATCATGAACTGACATCAGTTGGAGAAACATTGGTAACCTGGGAGCATTGAATAGCTGTTTCGTCCTAGTATGGGACTCCTCAGCAGTGCTCACCCAAGAATTCAACCAGTGATCGTACTCAGGATCTTCAGGTTTTGTGGTCAGCACCTTAGCATTGGGCCACCGGGTCTAAGTTTACGATCCATATCTTTCTGCTTCTGGTTACGAAATGGCGCAACCTCCATCCAACTTGGTTGGCTCCTGGCGAAGTCATGGATCTGTACTGCTGAGTTCCGTATGAGGGTGAAATAGCTGTCCAGTGCTCCCAGGTTTCCAATGCGTCTCCAACTGATGTCAGTCCATGATAAATACAAACCTGAAATTAATAAATAAATCTTCACAAACTTCCAAATTGTTTGCCTGTTTAACTTCTGGTCATTCCTTACGTTTTACAGATAAAAAGAGTTAGTGGTCACATCTGTCTGTGTTAGGTGTTAATCTTCAATAATTGTTCAGCGGATTATCGATCTCTTAGGGACAAATAATCTTTAGGTCTGACAACTAACCGTTAATCGATTGACCCGAATTTTCAGTTATATATATTTACCAATCCATGTTTAACCTGTTTTAGTGTCTGTCTGTCTGATCTATAGTAACCAGTGCCTTACTTCCTACAATTCCTGACTTCATATGAGGACTAGTATTATTGATTTTAGGAAATCTACAGTTGATTACACTTCTCAGGCATTTCTCTTCTTTTTCTTCTTGATTCATTTCCTTGTGAGTAGGTAATACATAGATTTCAGCGTATATTTATGCAACTGTTTCCCTCAATGTCTTTGTATTCGTCCTAATATGTACCATAAGTTGTTATTGCACTAGGACTACTAATATGACAAATACTACTGACATATCTTACACGTCAAATGTTCGGTGGTTGTGGAAAACTAAGAATAGGAAATGAGAATAAGTGCACCAATGCATTTACCAGTGAAACAGGCCCAAACACTTGGCAATAACCTACACTTATTGTGTAAAAGCTAATGGAGCTGTGGGTCATTAGTCTAAGCACTCGATTTCCGGTTTATGATGGGTTACATATTTGAACGCTGTCCCACTTGCCGAGACCTATGCATTGAGGATTAACCCTCACACAAGTGTGGCTCATTGTCTTTCTACACGAACATGCATGTGATTGCTGAATACATTTTGATTTTCGTGTCAGACCTGATGATAAACTAATCGGATCGACCAGACATTGACAAGAAAAGTGTGATTTGAATCCTTGAGCATTAGTAGAAAGTCGATTGTATAGACTTATGAGTCATAAAATAGTATGGTGTTCAAAATATACATTACAGTAGGATTTGGATGCATTTACTAGTCTACTGACTAACATAATCAATGTATAACCTCACACACAAGTGCATCGGCTTACGTTACCACACTTCACAGTAGTATATAAAGAACAGGCAATCAATCAATCAATCATTATCAACATAGGACCAGGCATTACTGCGTAACGGTCCGAGTTGCCACACCTCACGTCAGTTCATCAAGTAAAAAGGTAGTGAGGTGAAGGATGAAGATAAGTGAATGCAGTCAAAAGAAATATAAAGTACGAGAAGAAAGGAAAGAGGAGTGACAAAATAGTGAGATTCGGTATAGCGTTGTTAAGATGAGGATAATGTGTGTATACATCTGCGCCACTGACTTCGGTTCTGAGCCATATCACCTAGGGTCTCCAACCACTGGTTCCTCTTGTCCCGTGGACCCCAACCACCTAGTCTGCATCGTCCTACATGGCTTAAACCAACAGTCAGAGACTTCATACATTGGTGCCATGTTTTAGTCTGGCCACCTCGGGCCTTTTTCCAGCCTGAACCCACCTCAGCCAACATTGTGTGACGAGGCAATCGGTGACTAGGCATACGTAGTACGTGTCCCAACCATCTCAGTCGATGAAGGTTCACAACCTCGTCGACTGACTTACCTCTTCTCCCTAAAACTCTACACCTAACTTCTGCATTACTCACATGGTGACACCACGGAATACGTCCTATACTACGAAGGCAACGGTGGTCAAACACCTGAAACCTTTTCATGTCTTCCACTTTCAATGGCCATGTTTCACAGCCATACAGTAGAACAGAGCGGACTGCTGTGCAGTACACGCGACCCTTAATAGACAAACGAATATCACGGCGGCGCCATAGGTGGCGCAAATTGGCAAAAGCCAATCGAGCCTTTTGTATCCGTGCAGAAATCTCATCGGCAACTAACCCACCGGGTTGATCCTACTTCCCAGGTAAGTGAAGTGGTCAACACACTCAACCACTTCACTCTCTATTGTTAACCGCGGTACCGCTGAAGACCAGTCCTGGAGCAAAAATTTGCATTTGGGTGGTGAAAATCGCATCCCAAACATTCTCAAATTCCCACTCAAAGTGTTCAGAAGACTCTGCATCTTGTCAGCGTCTTCACCTAACAGGACTATGTCATCTGCATATTCTAGATCTAAGGAAAATTCACCTGTGATTCGGTCAACGTCTTTGTAATTAGGTGACGAGAGGGAAACCTCCATAAGAATATCTATGATAAAATTAAATAAGAATGGGGATAGTGGGCATCCTTGACGGACACCACTTGATGAGTATAGCTCCCTGGACAACTCACCATAGGCTCTAACATGCCCACAAGTGTTCGAGTAGAGAGCTTTCAATAAGGTGATGTACTTACTAGGCACGCCTTTCAGTGACAGACACTGCCATAAGACTTCTCGATCAACGGAGTCAAATGCCGCCTTCAGGTCGAGAAATACAGCTATTGTCGGGCGTCTGTAAGCATGCCTATGTTCCAGGACCTGGCGCAGTGTGAATATTTGGTCGATACATCCACGGCCAGGTCTAAAGCCTGCCTGGTTTTCTCGGGCTTGCTGTTCCCGAGCTCCACTCAGGCGTCGGAGAATTATAGAACTTAGGATCTTAGACACTATGTTTGTCAGGCTGATTCCTCTGTGGTTATCACAAGAGGACTTCTCGCCTTTCTTGAAGACTGGGATGATGAGTGACTTAGACCAGTCGGAGGGGATCGTATTTGATTCCCATATACTGGCTAACACTTCCGTTAGCCTGACTAAGAGAACTCTACCACCATTCTTGTATACCTCAGCAGGTAGTCCGTCTGGTCCTGCTGCCCTTCCCCGTTTCAGGCTACCTACCGCTTTCTCAACTTCTTCTAGTGTTGGGGGACCTGTCTCTATGTCCCATTCAGGGTCCGACTGGATAGCGGGCAGCGCAATGGTGGCTGGAGGCCAGTTAAACTGTTCCTCAAAGTGTTCTGCCCATCGTCCCAGTCGCCTTCCCTGCGAGTGAATCGCAGATCCGTCCTTCTCCGCTATAACCTCACTAACTGTTGTTGACCATTTCCCCCCAGTCTCCTTAATAAGTCTAAATAACTGTCTACTGTTACCGATCGCCGCTGCCTTTTCCATCTCTTTAGCCTTTGCTGCCCACCACTGTTCACGATCGTTGCGCAGACTTTTCGTCAGTTATTTTTAAGTTGCGCTCGCTCTTCATTGTACTCAGAGCCTGCAGGGATGCATTCACGTGCATCCATTAGTTTGGAAGAAGCTGCTGATATCCACTGGCTCTTTTTAGCCATTATCTTGGAGTCGGCTACAGTCTCCAGTGCTGCTTTTACAGTAGACTGAAGATGGCACCAAGCTTCTTCTGGATGAGTGACAGTCTTTTGTTCCGATAACTGCCTAGCCAACTTCTCACTGAACACGGCTTTGGTGTTTTCGTTGTCCAGCAGAACTCGTAGTGGTTTTGTTGCCAAATTTTTTCTACGTCCATTGAGACGCAGGCATATACGTGCTCGGACCAACGCATGATCGCTGTCCAAACACGTACTCCAGAAGGAGCGGCAGTCTTCCACCGATCCTCTCCAGCGATGACTAATAGCAATGTGGTCTATCTGTGTCCATCGCTGAGTCGAGCTCGGTGGACGCCAGGTCAGACAGTGCCTTTCTTTATGTCTGAAATTTGTGCTGGCTAAAAATAGGCGGTTATCTGAGCATAGTTGTAATAGGCGATCACCGTTATCTGTACGTTCAGCTGGGATTCCGAAAGTGCCACCTAAGTGCCTTTCTGCCTCACTCAGTCTACCCACCTGTGCGTTGAGGTCACCTGCAACAACCACCACGTCCGAACGTTTGGCTTTCGAGAGGAGGTTAGACAGTTTATGGTAGAACTCGTCCTTCACTTCATCCGAGCTGCAGTCAGTGGGTGCGTAAGCAGAGATTACAAAGAGACAACGGCGAGTCTCACTATTCCTTTTAGTTCTCACTGTGCCGTTCAGCCTCATAGCGCAGAGGCGACTATCAACTGGGATCCAGTCTAGTAGTGAGTTTTCTGCCCTGGTGCTTAATGCTATACCTACACCTGCAAGACCACGAGAGCTAGCTATCGAATCTCCAGAAACTCGAAGGGTGAATTTTGCAGATTCACCAGATTGGTCAGGAGAGGTCAGGTGAATAACCACACTTGGGTCCTGTATGCGTGTCTCACAAACACAGCACACATCCATGCCCGAGTTGCTAGAGTCTTTGCCAACGAAGCCTGTTGGCCAATTTGACGGAGGGTGCGGACATTGAAGGCTCCAATATGTAATTTGGAGCGTGGTTTAAGGAGACCAGGGATGCTGTTCTGTGGACTCAGATCGTTGTCGAAGGCTGCAGAGGTAGGAGAAATTGAAGATGATGCAGCATCATTAATTAAGAGACGTGAAGGAAGATTAGAAGGTAATGATGGAGGAGGAGGATAGCAGTCAGAAGAAACTTGGGTGCTGACAGAGTTGTGAGGGCGGTTGACACTTCCCGGCTGCCCACACCGTGGAAGGCTATTTCTTCTTAAGGTACCTGAAAGAGATTTGTGTGACCGCAGAGCCCATCGGACATCTGCTTGAGGCCTGTCACACCCAGCCTTTTGAGTATGATTATTTTGAACTTTTGTATTTTTGGGGCCGGATAGTCGAAAGGAAACGACAAGTGAACCAACACCGCCGGCCCGGCAGACCGTGGGGCGTGGTGGAGTGTGTTATTTTTGGGGCCGACCTTTTCTAACCCCCCCTTCCACTGAGAAGGCAGCATCAGCATGGCACTGCTGGTCATCCAAGGGAAACACCTTACTGCTGTCACACCCCATCCAGCTAGCAGCAGTACGACTTCGCCCTCAGACCCCCATCATAGTGCAGTAATTTACACTATAACGGTACCTGCTTTTTGTCTAACCACTATCCAAGGGACCTTTCTGGTATGGTAGGACCTGGAGGGAACGAGGGATTAGCCAGAATAGGTCGTTGGGTAGGGGCTACCGGTCGGGCAAAGAACAGGCGGCTACAAAAAGGCTGATATGAAAGTAGATGATGTTGTGTGAGGGGACTAACAATCTGAAGATAAAGGTTAGTGCGAGTATCTGAGCTTCATAAGATGTCAAGGAGTGAATACATTGTGACCACCATTGTGACCGATTTTCAGTCATGTCACCAAGAGTTCTCAACCACTGATCCTTTTCGTCTTGAGGACCCCAATGAAGCAGTCTACATCCCTCCACACAGCTCAGACCGACAGTCAGTGACTTCATGGATTGGTCCCACGTCTGTTCTGATCTGATCATCCTGAACCAACTTCCACTAGCATGTAACATAGAGGTGGAGGTAGGCAGTGACTCGGGACACATAATACATGTCGAAGCCACCTGTTACGATGAAGGTTTACAACGTGATCAATCGACTTGCCTGTGTTGACTAGTACCCTTTGCGTGTCGTCAAAATAACTCACACGGTGGTTCCACCAAACGGGAGCAATGGTAGAAAGACATCAGTGATGCAAACGCTGTAATCGCTTTATGTCTTTTATTTTCGAAGGCCATGTGTCAACGGTATAACAGGAGGACTGGTGTGGTGCAATATACTCGTCCTTTTATAGATGGTCGGATATTTATGCAGTCGGTACCACAGATGACGCAAGGCCTTCTGTATCCGAGGTGAGAATTGGTCAGGAACCAGGAAGTTCTGTGGACTGATGCAACTCCTCAAGTCAATGAAGTGGTCGGTGCATCCCACCATTTTACTTCCTATGATCAAGATGGGAGTAGTCGCAGCAGGAAAGTCTTGAAGTATCATCTTGCATCTGACAGGTGGCGACGAAACGGATGTCAAGCATGCTTACATTTCTGCTAGATGCTCAGAGAAGAACCAGCATTGTGATTGGGAATACCTGTGTTCCAGAACCTTCCGTAGGGTGGAAGTATGACCGACGAGATCTGGACGCTGCTTGGGTTCCTTGAGGTCGCTCTTCTCGAGCTCCTGTTTGTCGTGGAATAACCGTAGATTCTGGGATCTTGGACACAATATTAGTCAAACTACTTCGCTCATGATCGTCACAGGTAGTCTTCTCTTCTTTCTTTTAGACTGGATTGATCAGTTGAATAGACAGTGTGATGGGACTATCTCTAATCTCCGTATACCACCTAGTACTTTTGTTACTTTAATTAGCATTTTCTTACCTGCATCCTTGACAACCTCAGGTGGCCAACTGTCATATCCTGTCGTTTTGTATCGTTTCGGGTGTGCCACAGCTTTCTCAACTTCAAGGTGGGTTAGAGGACCGACATCAACGTCCACTTCAGGTTTAGGCTGGAAGTTGAACAACTGTGGGCCATTTGAACTGTGCTGAATTAAGGGGATCTGTTAATTCGAAACCGCACACATATTTTATTCTCGCTCATAACTTTACTTCTTGATCTTTAGTGTGGTTTTTTGAATTATTTTAGTGATATCAATGATGCGTCTGTTACAATGTTAACACTGTGTCATCGTGCCGGAGACATTCAACTTATTAACCTGTTTGGTTCTGCTTCATGTGTCGAAAAACTATTTCCTCATCGATTAAGTGACACTGTATGTTAGGTAGTACAGGATAATACCCAAATAAAAGTGGTTATGCTTTTGGATGGTTATATCAAGGAATCACTTGACCGGATCAGTTGCTTTATCTCTTCTTCTCAGGATGGTTTTACATGCTATGAAATTCATTCATATCTTCTTCATTTTCGTACCTCTTTTGTTTACGTGCGGTGTCAAGAAATCTATTTTTCTTTTGAATGCTTTATATGACCTTTCCATCGTTAATGGTTAGGGAGACTGTAATCAGAACACTCAACATATTATTTAGGATAAACTCTAGATTTCCTTTATTTGTAACACTTTCGATCTGATTTGTATTTTTTTGTTTTCAGACTTTAGCACAGATTATGATTCAAGTTCATATGATGTTGTACCAAAATTGGAACACTATTTAGCAGTTGGTTATCTTTTTACTCAACAAGGCTTTTCCGATCCTTTATGCAAAGATTCACTGATATATTTGAAAACTGATCAAATTGAAGGTTTATGGCATTTACGGACATGTTTATTACTATTGAATAAAATCTATGCAGGAGGCAATACTCAGTCGTCTAATACTGCCTATACACTTCTGTCATGGGAGGATGCAGCTGCTGCATCTCGGTTAAATGAATGCCATCAAGCTGCTAAACAATTGAATTTAACACTTTCACTGCATTCTCACTTGTCTGGATATGAAATAAGCAAGAGTATTATGCATATGTTTATTGCTTATCAAAATGTCAAAAGAAATAAAGCTTTAAACAGGTCAAAAGCTATTGGTTCCGATAGTTTTTACTGGAATTTTCTGTATGATGATGTTCATAATAGCGATGATTATATTATGAGTTGTCAGCCACTCGATTGGAAGTTTCAACAATTGAATACAATCCTTTGGAATGGTATCATACATAAGGTATACATGTTTATCCTTTTTTTTAAAGTGTTACTATTATTGCTGTCACTGGTATAGATTTTTCTTCGTGAAGAATTCATGTAACTGGTGCATAATTTGATTTCTATTGAGAATTTACTTCTGTAGACTACTGATATGTGCGATAGGCTAACTGAAGTATACCTTTGTTAAGTGGGGTTGTTAGACAAAGAACTAAAATATATTATTATTATTTTTCCCTTGGGTTCCTAGTTGAACATAGGGCTTCAGTAGTACGCCTCTGTTGCACCCTGTTCACTCCAGTCTTTTCAACCTGGCTCTATGACTGTCTACAAGCTCTCATTTCTCCCTCGCCTCGGACGTCCAACTCGTCGTTTCCCCTTTGGATTCCACTCGAGGGCCTGGCGCGTGATGCCTCCAGTTGGCCTTCTCAGTATATGCTCAATCCATCTCCACTTCCTTCCAGTGCATATTTGTTGAGCGATGGGTTGTTGGTTGGTTCGTTGCCAGAGTTCCTTGTTGCTTATTATTTCTGGCCATCTGATCTTGTTTCAAGCGTAGCAGCTGTAATAATACTAGATCGCCGTGTTATAAATCAAATAAACAAGTCCAATCTGGAATTAATTTTTACTATAGTGCCCAAGTTTTACACCTATATTAGCTGTTGATGAATGTTTGTAGTTTGTTTCTTTTCGTAACGCGCCAAGTTTCTGAACCATATAGAAGCCCTGACTTGACGTTGATGTTAAAAATGCGGATCGTGTTCTTTGTGCTGATCCCCACACTGATTTCAGATTAATGAAAGCCTGTCTTGTTGCCCTTCAGATCCTACCTTTGGCGTCCTCATCTGTGCCACCTGTAGTTGAAACGATGCTGCCTAGGTAGGCAGGTAAGTGAAAGAGACTACTTCCTTTAGGTTTCTGCCGTTGATGGTGATTGGTGCGTGTTGTTGGCTGGGTATCTTCATCACCTCTGTCTTCTCTACATCCACTTGAAGTCCTGTTTTCAGTGCCTCTTCTGTCAACTTGTTAGTTTTCGCCTGTAGATCTTCGAGTATGTGCGACATGACATTAGACATAAATCATTATCAGTGGCGAAATCCAAATCTTCTTCTGGGGTCTTTTCATGGATCCAGCCAGCGTATGCCCATCTCACAGCTCCTCACGTTTTGCTGCATGATCCGAACTTAAATATAGTTTGAGTAATAACGCAAAGATTTAACACAGAGAAGCTTTTTTTTCGAAGAATTTCATTTACTGAAGTCGTACACAATGATATTTAAAATCAAAAGGAACAATCAATGGTGACACGTGATTACCGTAACTTTTAAGAGTAGAATAGAAATTTTTCAAAGGCAGACGAAAATCACTGCTTTAGTTATAGTGAGTCTAATAAATACAGCATACAGCTGTGCTTTATTGGTTTACGGAAGTGACTTTTAACCAACGGGTTGTGAGTTGGAGCCCCGCCTATGCTACCGAGGTTTGAGCAGTCAGGTAGTATCAGTCGCTCTCATACAATAAATGTGGCTCGTTGTCTACTGCACGAATGTTCACAAGGTTGCTGAGTGCATTTCGATTCGTATTGATTTGATTTAATGTTTTTGAACACAAAGATCAGGTTTATGGTTAAGAATTGCGAGTAATTCGGCTATGCATAGACGACGCAGTTGGAAACCTTTATAGTCGTGAGGAGACACTGTAATTTACTTTGAAGAGACCGCTAGTAGGAGCCAGACGCCCGGAGGTGACAAAGTATGCAAGTATCGAGCATCTTATGGGATTTTAACCTTTAACGTTGTGATTCTGTACACTGCGATGTCCAACGTGACATTTTACTAGTTTATTTGCGAATGTTATTTTTAAAATAATAAAGTCAACACCGAGGCTTTCTTCAATATGTTATAGTTAATGGTGCAAAGATTCGTAATTCATTGTTAATGTTTTTGATAGCAGTCAACAGTGGAAGTAATGCTATTCAATTGGGTACATATTTATGTACAAGGCCTTGAGTCTTACTTATTATTCTGTAGATGTATAATACTGGCTGCCTGCTCAAATGGAAGGCGAGTGGATAGAGATTTGACACGTGAGCCTGTTGTTTGCAGGTCGTGTTCAAGCGATTACGTGTAACCTCCAGTCAACACTAAATCTCGATTTCATAGATGTTACTGCTACTTGAAATATGTATTGCCCACCCACTACCTCGACGTGGTATGCTAGTTGGGGCTCGATTGGTTAGAAGAGGGTTAAGGGTGACCAGACCAGAACACACGTGGGACCAGTTCATGAAGTCCCTGGCTGTTGGTGTGAGCCGCTTAGAGAGATGTAGACTGCCTAATTGTGGTCCCCAAGGCGAAAAGGATCAGTGGTTGAGAACTCTTGGTGACGTGACTGAAAATCGGTCACAATGGTGGTCACAATGTATTCACTCCTTGACATCTTATGAAGCTCAGATACTCGCACTAACCTTTATCTTCAGATTGTTAGTCCCCTCACACAACTTCATCTACTTTGATATCAGTCTTTTTCTGTACACCTATTCTTTGATCAAGTGAAATTGTCTGAAATTAGTACATCAGCCAGTAATTATTATTGACCGTGAACTGGAGTGTCATTATGATATATGTTGGTGAATAAGTTATTATTGTATTTTAACCCATTTGACTGATAACAAAAGTATTTATAAATCTCATGACAATGGGTAATTGTACTTCTAAGGACATTTAAAATGGATGTTGAATCTTCCTTTTTCTTGAAAAACGTAAATTACTTTTAGTACATTTCATCTCTTTCTATCTATCCTTATTTATTTAATATCTTTATAGAAAAAGACTGTGTTTAGTATTCCTAGCCTAATCGCAATAATATTTAAAGTGATCATTCCCTTTGATATTATTGTTGATACATTGATTTATGTTTAAGAAAATAGCGTAAACGAGGCTAAATAGGGCCACTTTTGATAATGTCAGTTCCCACTGGTTAGCTTATTTTTGCAGTACAAAACATATGTGAATGTCTTTAAGTAGTATATATGTAGTGAATAGCTAGCTCAAAGATTATCACGTATCTTTTTTTCATTGTAGTCGCTAGTCAGATATAAATTGAATAAAATGAAACTTTCAAGTTACAGCAGTTTGAGAAGTGAAAATAAACAGAATGAAAGATAAACATCTTACATGTGACAATTAAAAAGATGTTCTGGATTTGGTTGATAAGCAATAAATATACCTGCCCCACTTTGATTATAAATCGTTACGAAGTGAAATGGTTTGGTAACGTGTTGCAGATGCTGAGTCACCGCCTGGCTTCACGTGTGATTTTACCGCAGAAAAGAACATATCAGATGATGGTTAAGAATAGACAGACCTTTTATTGGCACTAGTTCATGAAGTCTCTGACTGTTGATCAGGTGGTGTGGACCATCTGTCTAGGATTCTCGAGATGTGGTCTGACTGATAGACAAAACCAACATGGGGCCTGGTATTACTGTGTAACTATCCCGGTTGCTCCCGATCGATAGGTGCTGGCTTGAGATAGTAATCGTGGTTGTATATCAACAATGACCCAACGAGACGCACTAAGTGGGACGTTTTCTCTCTCAGATCCTATCATACCAGAAAAGTCTGTTGGCTAGTAATGAGACGAAAAGCAGTTACTCTCATAGTGTAAACTTCTACGCTATGATAGGGTCAGAGGGTGTAGCTGTTCTGCTGAATTGACGGCTTTGTGACAGTGGTTAGGTGTTTCCCTTGGATGACCATGTTGATGCTGCCTTTCCTTTAGGAAGGGGCGGGGGTTAGAAAAGTGTGGCACCCGAAGAAAATACTCCTCCTCTGCTCTGCAGTCCGGTGCTGGCAACATGGGTCTTTTTATCTGGTGTTATAACAACCAAACCTCAAACCAACAATATTTAAAAGATCGTGTGACAGGCCTGAAGTAGATGTCCAATGGACTCTGCCATCACATAAATGTTTTTCATTTCACCTTTGGATACCCTGCAGAAACAACTTCCATACTATGGGAAACCGGGAAGCAGTATACGACATCCAATCAAACGTAAACTACCCTCTTCGCCTCTTTCTTATCCTTTACCTTCACTTCCGGATACCTCTTACAGCTTCCTCAACCTTTCACTCCATGACCATTATCAAAGGTCTGCTCTTTCGAAACACCATTCTTAGTCTGTTTAAACGCCACTGTCCATTCCACATTAGGCGCTTCAGCGTCTGAACCCGATGGCAAGTCGCACACCAGAACTCCTGAAATTTTGGCCATGGATGTTTGCTGTCTTTCTGAGACACTTTTGTATGAAACCAGTGTGGTTGTTAACTTGGCTTCACTTAGCCACACTTTAAAGTAGCATCCATAGGACAAATGGGTAGAAAAAAACTGAAATCTAAGTATGCAAAGGTGTGTGGGAGGCAAAACAATTTGAAGATACAGGTTACTGAAAATATTCGGGCTTTAAAAAAATGTCAGTGAATGAATATATCTGTGCCATTGTGACCGATTTTCAGCCATTTCACCAAGAACTTCGAACTCCTGACTCCTCTAATCCTGCAGACCCCAGCTAGGTGGCGTACAACTGACACAATTCATAAAAACAGTCATTGACTTCATGAAATAATTTCATGTTTTGATCTAATCATCCTAATCTTTTTCCAAACTAATTCTACTTCTTCTAGGATTGCACATAGAGGTAGACTGAGGGTTCTTCACCTCATGGACTTGCCTGTCTTGCCTAGTGCCTTTCACATTGCCTTTGCACTGGTCACATAGTTATTCTACTATACTTGGGAAATGCTACGAAGGCATCTGTGGTCAAAAACCTGTACTCTCGTCATATCTTATTTTAGCAGCCATTTCTAAGATCTATATCTTTCTCCTCAGAGTTCTAGAGTTGGCTGTCGGATAATTATCTTCTAGTAACTAGCACGAATCTGAGACATAAACTGACGTATTGTATAATTTGACGATCAGCAACCCTAGCTCAAAAGTGGAGACATCAATCTTGGTTATAAGTTTATATTCAGTATTGTAATAGAGAGTGCAGTCTGACACTGATCACACGTTGATTCAAGCATCTATGTGTCTTCGGCTTAATGGACGCAAAAAGGCTGTGACTGTAATATCTTTTCTGGCTAAGATCGGTGACTAGATAGAATATCGATCAAGGAGTTTGGCTATAAGGTTACGAGGGTATAGTAAAGTTATCAATTCTAAGGCGGCCTGGTACTATCTTCACTCAACTTTAAGAAGAGAGATAAATATAGTTATTAACGCCTTCCTAACTAAGGTTAGTGGCGGTCAGTGAATTTTGACACCTTTGTATGCATAGGGTACCTAGGAAAGCTTCACACCAGCACACAAAGAGCACACTGAAGAATAGAGGCCATTCAAATGAAGACTAAAAATGACATATTTCAATGCCGTTTATTTTTGTTTCCTCACTAACTAATTTTAATGTTTTATGCGTTTATTTCGATATATAGCCTAATTCTATTAATCATACTTTTCTCTGAGTCATCTTTACATCATTTTTATCTGTTTTGGAGAATATATAACGTTAATATAATGATAACTATGTTTTTCAGCATTCATCCAATAAAATTGTGAATTGCATTTATTGTATAAGGGTTCCTGACAATACCTGGCTACTCAAACCTGTGCAAATCAGGGCAGTAAGCCATAGCTCCACAACATGTTCCCTATATGTTCATAAACACATGAAGTAAGATCATTATTATTCCATTCTTTCTCCCTTGGGTTCCTAGTGGAACATATGGCTTCAGTATCACGCCTACATTCCACTCTGTTCTCTGCAATCTCTTGAACCTGGCTCCACGACAGCCCAGAAGCTCTCATTTCTTCCTCACGATCACCTCCATGTCACCCTCGGACGCCCAACTCATCGCTTCCCATTTGGGTTCCACTTGAGGGCCTGGCGTGTGATGTCTCCGAATTGTCTTCTCAGTGTATGCCCAATCCATCTCCACTTCCTTCCAGTGCATATTTGTTGAGCGATGGGTTGTTGGTTGGTTCGTTGCCAGAGTTCCTTGTTGCTTATTCTTTCTGGCCATGTGAGCTTCAGTAACGAGTGAGCGTGAGCAGTTGTTGATGAATGTCTATAGTTTTTTGGAAATCCCTTTCGTAACGCGCCAAGTCTCTGAACCATACGGACTTGACGTTGGTGTTGAAAATCCGGATCTTGTTCCACATGCTGAGTGCAGAAGATCTCCACACTGGTTTCAGGCCAATGAATGCCTGTCTTGCTTTTCCGATCCTGCCTGGCTTTGATGTCCTCGTCTGTGCCGCCTGTAGTTGAAACGATGCTGCCTAGATAGGTGAAGGAGGCTACTTCCTTTAGGTTTCTCCCGTTGGTGGTGATTTGTGCTAGTTGTTGTTGGTTGGGTATCATCATCACCTCTATCTTCTCTAAGTCCACTCGAAGGAAGTCCCGTCTTCGCTGCCTCATCCGTCAACTTGTCACTTTTCGCCTGTAGACCTTCGAGTTTGTGCGACATTAGACATAAATCATCATCAGTGGCGAAATCCAAATCTTCTAGCATCTTTTTCCCGGTTCAGTGTACCCTCTCTTCTCGCTCCTCACTGTTTGTTGCTTGATCTAGTTGATCACAATCAGGAATGTCATGGGTGATAGTAGACAGCCTTGTTTTACTCCTGTCTTCACTTGAAAGGCATCACTGAGCTTTCCATTGTGAATTACTTGGCATGTGGCTTCTTCATATAGTTATTGAATGAGGTTGATAAAGGTTTGTGGTATTCCATAGTGTTGAAGCAGCTGCCGGCCAAATTACTTCTCGGTGGACGCTGTCCAAGGCTTTTTCAAAGTCGATGAAGTTGAGGTAGAGGGTTGACTGCCATTCTATGCTCTGTTCTATGATTATGCGTAGCGTTACAAGTTGGTCTGCACATGATTTGTATTTCCTGTATCCAGTCAGCCTGTTTTGGTCGTGGTTTTGAATCCAGTGCATCCTTTAGTCTCTCCAGGATGATGCGGCTTAATATTTTGCTTGCTCTGAGTGGACAGGGAGTGGGCATGATTTCTCGCCAGTTTTTGCAAAGACTTAGGTCGCCCTTCTTCAGGAGTTTGACAAGGTTGCCCTTCTTCCAATCGTCAGGTACTTTCCCTTCCTTCCAGACCTTCTGCAATAGTGGTGTGAGTATGTCCACTGTTGTCCATGCGTCTGTTTTCAGTGCTTCTGGTGGGATTCCATCTGGTCATGGTGCTTTCCCGCATTTCAGTAGCTTTATGGCATTCAGGACTTGGAATTTCGTCGGAGGATTTGTGTTCACTTGTAGTTCTGTGACTGGGCTGCAGGTGGTATTTGTGAACGAAGTGCAGATGGTGGTCAATTCGAGAGCTTCTTGAAGTGGTCGGCCCATTGTTTCCTTTGTTTATCATCTTCCTTGGTAATTAAATTTCCGTCATCATCTTTTATTGGTTTCATCTGTGTTGATCTCTTCCCAGATAGTAACCTGGTTATTTGATACAATGTGGTTAGGTCTCTGCCTCTCCTACCTGCAGGCTGCTCTGCTTCACTTGCCAGTGTTTCGTAGAAGTGTCTTTTGTCTTTGCGTTCACTCTTGTTCACTTCTTTGTTCAGTGTAGTGTTTTATACATTGTACTCAGTTCCTCTTGTCGTTGTTCATCCTTGCACTGGTTTATCTCCTGCTTCACCATCCTCCTCTCCCTGGTCTATCAGCTTCCATGTGTCCGTCGAGATCCATTCCATTTCTTGTCTTCTTTCGTCTCCCTTCCTAATACGGCTGTGCAGGTTTCTCTCCACATAGCTTTCAAAGAGTTCCAGTGTTCTTCCACACAGGTTTCTTCAGGGATGTAGCTCGATATCTCCCATTTTGTCTTGATGGCTGCCGTCAAGGTGTCCTTTATTGTTTTGTCCTTCAGTTTTTGGGTGTGAAACTCGAACCCTGGTCTATCACCAACTTCTTTCAAGGCTTTCAACTTGATTTGGAAGTTTCCTTGCACTAGACGGTGAGTGGTGTGAAGCTACGTCTGCTTCTCTTCCTGACCTTGTGTCAAGTAGGCTGCGTCTCCACCTTTTTGAGATTGAGATGAAGTCGATCTGGTTTTTAGTGTGTCCATCTGGTGAAGTCCGTGTCGCTTTGTGGATATCCTTGTGCTTGAACACACTGCCTCACTGCAATCACCAAATCGTTGAATGCACAGAATTCTGCAAACAATTCTGCATTCTCGTTCATCACCTCACCGAGCGCTTCTCGACCCATGGTTATTTCTTTTCCTGTGTTGTCTGCTCCCAGTTTAGCATTCATGTTACCCGACCCATTAGAATTTTGGTATCCCCAACTGAGGTTTTGTCCAGTGTTGATTGTAGTTGTCTGTAGAATTCCTCCTCCTTCTCTTGATCTGGATTATTTGTAGGTGCGTAGCATTATATGATCGTGACTCTCCGTCCTTTTCAGTTGAACCTTGCTGTGATGATCCTGCATGAGGAGATTGGTTCCCACTGTATGAGAGCCTTCGATGCACTTGAGGACATCATGATAACCACTGGAAATTTCAGTGTGCTTGTGGTTGTCGTCTGGTTGACGATATCGGAGTAGATTATTGACTCCTCTTCAGTTGACAGTTTGGAGAGTCCGCTTCCATTCCATCTGCTTTCGCAAATTCCTAACACTTCAATGCGATACCTTCTCATCTTGTTTGCAATCTGGACTGCCTTGCTGAGTTCAAACATGGTGCGGACATTCCATGTCCCAACGTTTACTTTCGCTTTCATCGATAGGGAGAAGACACATTGGCCAATGGTCTTCCCGGAAGTTTTCATCAATCGGCGTCCTTTCGCCTCTCCGATTCCAGCGAGGAATAATTTTGTTTTCATTTTTTATATTTTGTTTGTGCTTTGAAGTTTATTTGGCAGTTGGATTTGTTTTACGGGTTAGGGTTGCTAGCCGTATGCCCAACCTTCCTTTTTTACCCGGGCTTAGTGCCGGCTAGTTACTAGTGGACTAGTTAACCAGGCGAGGTTAGAATGTAAGATTAGTGAAATGTATAGTGGAATTATTCTGTTTGTTGGTTTTATGTCAGCTGAGTCAGCCGGTCAACTTCACCTCTTGCTGTCACTCTTTAAATATTTTCATTTTTTCTTTCTTTCTTTCTAAGTGTTCCAAGTTGCCATTATTCTTACTCTCAAGTGTTTATAGCAGTTCGCCACCGTTTACATCTGATCCAGTCCATACGAATGATGTTGATGACAATGACGAAAAGATGTTGGTTACAAATTTCCATTCTAGTGATGACATTGTCATTGGTATGAATCTTAAATCATCTGATCATCGTTTAAAAACACGTAAAATTGACCGTCAACATTCCAGTAATGAAGCGTTAGTTGTTCCAGCTTCCTTAGGTGGATCACAAGGAGCTACAGCTTATATGCGTCTCAGTAATCGTGTTCGTATAATTGAGCGTAATGTTTCAGTTAGTATGAGGTAAGCATTTTGTTTTGGCTTTTATGACTTGTGTTTTTGCTGAAATATAACGTTACGTTACGTAGATTTTCCTTTTTGTCGTTGTCTAACTGACAATCTTTGATGACACAAATTGAACCTGCTCGAAAGGCAGGCCACTCTATCAACTTCTGAAAGAGCCAATTGGATTTCCCCATTCCGACTGGAAAGGCAGATTTTCATAAAATAGAGAAATTTAATTTTTCATTTCAGTTGTTGCTACAGTGGCTTTTAAACTAAAATCACTCCGAACGTATGCAATAGAAATGTATCATGAACACATTACAGACGTTTGGGGATATTTTATTATTTTAATAAAAGAATAAAAAGCTGTTAGTTTGGAGAAGCAAAATTTGAAAGACTTATCATTTCTTTGACATAACTATAGGCAGTAAACTGGTCTCGGAATCTCATCAGGTAGGTAATACTGTTTGTCTGTGTTTTAATAAATCAATCTATGTAATATGGGTTAATACCCTACCACAGTATCCATGATTCATTTGTTCGTTAGTTCTTATATACTCACTACGTTCGAATTATGCCTCCACGGAAACCCAATTGAATGGTTATCAAAGCTATAAAGTGTTAGTGAACTGAGTTTTATACGTCAGTCTTACTATGAAACAAATCGTTTCTTATATACAAAAGATGCGACTGAGATAATATGGTATATATATGGTTACTGATAAAGGGGTTCATCTTATAAACGATAATTATGAGATTATACTTTTGTCTATTACAATAGTTCTTCATAAACCCTCGTTCTGTGGGTTTCACTAGGAAACTCTCTCTCTCTCTCTCTCTCTCTCTCTCTATATATATATATATATATATATATATATATATATATATATATATGCGGTTTAATTTTTTCCTAATATCCAACTCACAATTCTATTTCATCGGAATGGAACATTTGGGTTTTATTATATGAATCTATTATCTGTAAGATGTTCTATAAACTGCAAGAAACTAAATTGCCCAAGGTGTAAAACACTACAATTACTGATGCTAACTTTATTGTTCAGGGTATATATTAATAATTAATTGCCAAATTCTACACTTCTTAGCAATCAGATTCGATTGATGAATTTGCATAATGTATTAAGGAGATAAAGAGGCTATCTGAGAAATGTGATATATTTACTCAATAAATTTCGAACAATCTAATCATATATTTACTTCTCAAGGGATTTTATATGAAGGATGAAAGTAGACTAGGATAAGGTAAGGTAAATAACAAATTAAGATAATACAAGATTTGGAAAATGTAAAGATAATAAGGAGGAATAATACATTTTCACACCTCCTTTAGCATTATTATGAGATAAAAACTACCAAGGCAGGTTTAAGGTAATAGCAAATTGTTTTTGAATACTTAAAGGGAGTTAGAACTTTCGTATAACTGAGGCTTCATTGAACTTAATGATGCTGTCTCGATGGCTACTTTGTAGTCAATCCTTTGACCTGTTTCTATAATGTGTTTACCTATAGAGAATGGCATCTGTCTACCCCTGTATTTAGCGGATTGAGTGTAGTTGTCTTTCTAGCCATTTAGGAACATGCTCCACCAACCTCTGCCTCACAATTCGATTACTCTTTCCAACGTATGTGTCACCGTACACACATGTAAATTGGTATACCTTCGTCTTCTAGATACATCAGATTCTGACTTGATGTGGTGAATAAACATTTTCTTAGTTGCTAGGGTATTACTGAATATTCTAATTGTTGACATGTCTAAATGGTTTAGATTGTCACAGAATTCATTGTAGCCTTGAGGTTGTTACATTGACTGGTGTTTTTTAGGCCTTGGAGAAACGTCATGAGGGGGTCCGTCCTATAACTTCATATCTCCTACAGATGTTTGTCTGGAATGTAATTGTGGAGGTAGCTACAAACCGATAACATTTAAACTGATGTAAATACCTTCCAGTAACACAAACGGCTATTTTACCTCTACTGTTTTTAAAACATCATACATGGTATGCAGCTTCAAGGACATCTCAGCACGAGTTTCACCGGTCTTAAAAGTATCCATAGAGTATTTAGGCATTATGGTACCAGCTGTGTATTGTATCTGAAACTTATTTTATCTGCAGACAGTGTTATGTTTTAGTTCAACCGTGAGACCCGGTACTACTGATTAAGTGTCCAATTTGCCACACCTCATAACACCACATGAAGGTACAAGGCAGCAAGGTGAAAGATAGAGAAGTAAGAAATGAGAATGTAATCCAAGGTCGTAGAAAGTCTTAATAGTATGGGAAGAGAGGATAAAACAATTACGACATGCGGTATATCGATTGATATGATGTGAATGCTTCTGCCCACCGCTGCAATCAATTTTGAGCCTTAAGTAATACAGTCTATGACCATCACTTTGGCTTTCACACTGTTCCCAGCGAGCAAATATAAATTTCCCTATAGTCGTCAAATCCACAGTCAGATACGTCATGGACTAATGCCACCTTTTATTTTAAGCATCTTTAACTTTCTTGCAGAATAAACCCTACTTCAACTAACTAACTCTTGTTCATCGAAAAAGGCTGTGACTGGGTATGCATGAAACCATATCTCAGCCACCTCATTCGATGAAAGTTTTCATTCCTACCAAACTGAGTTATCTCTTTCACCTAAAGCCCACTCCACGCTTGACTTTTATGTTCCTGATATGGTGGTTCCATGACAGAATCTGTCACAATGATTACCGTATTATTTTATGTTCCCTACTTCAAAAACAATTTGACAATATCAATATTATTTTGTCTTGGGTGATTTATTTCTTGATTCACCATTGTTTATGGTACTGGTTATTTGAAGTAGATAAAAATCTAAACTTTCTTTTAAAATTGTCAACTTTTTTAGATACTTAGAAGAACTTAGTCAGAGTTATCGTCGCCAAATGGAACGTCTATCACGTTCATTTAATCTCACCTATGCTTGGTTGAAATTGACAGCTAGTGGTGCTGAAGAACGTGATCGTCAACAACAAGTAATTTCATTGGCTAATTAAGCATTTTATCCTTTTATATATCCTTTGCACATTATGGTCAGTGAAATAATTATATCTGAGGAAACATTCTCATCATTGATGGAAGTTTCTACATTTGTAGTCTAAACAGTGTAGCAGTATATCATACACATAAGATAAACAAACAATGAAACTGTCAAAACTTCTGCAATTCCGATTTTCAAAATGTCAAATCAATTAAACGAATACTTTTCAGCAGCTGTACAATCGAGTTTGTAGTAATAACAAACAAATTATTATTATTTAGCTCCTGGGTTTCTAGTGGAACATACGGCTTCAGTATCACGCCTACATTCCACTCCGTTCTCTGCAATCTCTTGAAACTGGCTCCACGACAGCCCAGAAGCTCTCATTTCTTCCTCACGATCACCTCCATGTCACCCTCGGACGCCCAACTCATCGCTTCCCATTTGGGTTCCACTTGAGGGCCTGGCGTGTGATGTCCCCGAATTGTCTTCTCAGTGTATGCCCAATCCATCTCCACTTCCTTCCAGTGCATATTTGTTGAGCGATGTGTTGTTGGTTGGTTCGTTGCCAGAGTTCCTTGTTGCTTATTCTTTCTGGCCATGTGAGCTTCAGTAACGAGTGAGCGTGAGCAGTTGTTGATGAATATCTATAGTTTTTTGGAAATCCCTTTCGTAACGCGCCAAGTCTCTGAACCATACGGACTTGACGTTGGTGTTGAAAATCCGGATCTTGTTCCACATGCTGAGTGCAGAAGATCTCCACACTGGTTTCAGGCTAATGAATGCCTGTCTTGCTTTTCCGATCCTGCCTGGCTTTGATGTCCTCGTCTGTGCCGCCTGTAGTTGAAACGATGCTGCCTAGATAGGTGAAGGAGGCTACTTCCTTTAGGTTTCTCCCGTTGGTGGTGATTTGTGCTAGTTGTTGTTGGTTGGGTATCATCATCACCTCTATCTTCTCTAAGTCCACTCGAAGGAAGTCCCGTCTTCGCTGCCTCATTCGTCAACTTGTCACTTTTCGCCTGTAGACCTTCGAGTTTGTGCGACATTAGACATAAATCATCATCAGTGGCGAAATCCAAATCTTCTAGCATCTTTTTCCCGGTTCAGTGTACCCTCTCTTCTCGCTCCTCACTGTTTGTTGCTTGATCTAGTTGATCACAATCAGGAATGTCATGGGTGATAGTAGACAGCCTTGTTTTACTCCTGTCTTCACTTGAAAGGCATCACTGAGCTTTCCATTGTGAATTACTTGGCATGTGGCTTCTTCATATAGTTATTGAATGAGGTTGATAAAGGTTTGTGGTATTCCATAGTGTTGAAGCAGCTGCCGGCCAAATTACTTCTCGGTGGACGCTGTCCAAGGCTTTTTCAAAGTCGATGAAGTTGAGGTAGAGGGTTGACTGCCATTCTATGCTCTGTTCTATGATTATGCGTAGCGTTACAAGTTGGTCTGCACATGATTTGTATTTCCTGTATCCAGTCAGCCTGTTTTGGTCGTGGTTTTGAATCCAGTGCATCCTTTAGTCTCTCCAGGATGATGCGGCTTAATATTTTGCTTGCTCTGAGTGGACAGGGAGTGGGCATGATTTCTCGCCAGTTTTTGCAAAGACTTAGGTCGCCCTTCTTCAGGAGTTTGACAAGGTTGCCCTTCTTCCAATCGTCAGGTACTTTCCCTTCCTTCCAGACCTTCTGCAATAGTGGTGTGAGTATGTCCACTGTTGTCCATGCGTCTGTTTTCAGTGCTTCTGGTGGGATTCCATCTGGTCATGGTGCTTTCCCGCATTTCAGTAGCTTTATGGCATTCAGGACTTGGAATTTCGTCGGAGGATTTGTGTTCACTTGTAGTTCTGTGACTGGGCTGCAGGTGGTATTTGTGGACGAAGTGCAGATGGTGGTCAATTCGAGAGCTTCTTGAAGTGGTCGGCCCATTGTTTCCTTTGTTTATCATCTTCCTTGGTAATTAAATTTCCGTCATCATCTTTTATTGGTTTCATCTGTGTTGATCTCTTCCCAGATAGTAACCTGGTTATTTGATACAATGTGGTTAGGTCTCTGCCTCTCCTACCTGCAGGCTGCTCTGCTTCACTTGCCAGTGTTTCGTAGAAGTGTCTTTTGTCTTTGCGTTCACTCTTGTTCACTTCTTTGTTCAGTGTAGTGTTTTATACATTGTACTCAGTTCCTCTTGTCGTTGTTCATCCTTGCACTGGTTTATCTCCTGCTTCACCATCCTCCTCTCCCTGGTCTATCAGCTTCCATGTGTCCGTCGAGATCCATTCCATTTCTTGTCTTCTTTCGTCTCCCTTCCTAATACGGCTGTGCAGGTTTCTCTCCACATAGCTTTCAAAGAGTTCCAGTGTTCTTCCACACAGGTTTCTTCAGGGATGTAGCTCGATATCTCCCATTTTGTCTTGATGGCTGCCGTCAAGGTGTCCTTTATTGTTTTGTCCTTCAGTTTTTGGGTGTGAAACTCGAACCCTGGTCTATCACCAACTTCTTTCAAGGCTTTCAACTTGATTTGGAAGTTTCCTTGCACTAGACGGTGAGTGGTGTGAAGCTACGTCTGCTTCTCTTCCTGACCTTGTGTCAAGTAGGCTGCGTCTCCACCTTTTTGAGATTGAGATGAAGTCGATCTGGTTTTTAGTGTGTCCATCTGGTGAAGTCCGTGTCGCTTTGTGGATATCCTTGTGCTTGAACACACTGCCTCACTGCAATCACCAAATCGTTGAATGCACAGAATTCTGCAAACAATTCTGCATTCTCGTTCATCACCTCACCGAGCGCTTCTCGACCCATGGTTATTTCTCTTCCTGTGTTGTCTGCTCCCAGTTTAGCATTCATGTTACCCGACCCATTAGAATTTTGGTATCCCCAACTGAGGTTTTGTCCAGTGTTGATTGTAGTTGTCTGTAGAATTCCTCCTCCTTCTCTTGATCTGGATTATTTGTAGGTGCGTAGCATTATATGATCGTGACTCTCCGTCCTTTTCAGTTGAACCTTGCTGTGATGATCCTGCATGAGGAGATTGGTTCCCACTGTATGAGAGCCTTCGATGCTCTTGAGGACATCATGATAACCATTGGAAATTTCAGTGTGCTTGTGGTTGTCGTCTGGTTGACGATATCGGAGTAGATTATTGACTCCTCTTCAGTTGACAGTTTGGAGAGTCCACTTCCATTCCATCTGCTTTCGCAAATTCCTAACACTTCAATGCGATACCTTCTCATCTTGTTTGCAATCTGGACTGCCTTGCTGAGTTCAAACATGGTGCGGACATTCCATGTCCCAACGTTTACTTTCGCTTTCATCGATAGGGAGAAGACACATTGGCCAATGGTCTTCCCGGAAGTTTTCATCAATCGGCGTCCTTTCGCCTCTCCGATTCCAGCGAGGAATAATTTTGTTTTCATTTTTTATATTTTGTTTGTGCTTTGAAGTTTATTTAGCGGTTGGATTTGTTTTACGGGTTAGGGTTGCTAGCCGTATGCCCAACCTTCCTTCTTTACCCGGGCTTAGGTCCGGCTGGTTGCTGGTGAACTATGGAACCAAGGGATATTATTATGGATACGGAATAATGTATTATCGGCTACTGCTTCATCAGCACAGGATCCTCTGGAGTGTAATAATAGACGGTTAGTTGCACTGGAAAATGATTGTTGGATCACAGTGTGACTGAGGAAATTATGCGGTGGAACAACTTGATAAGTCATGGATAAAAAAGAATAAACGGATCAAAAATAGTCGTACTTATTTTATTTGAGAGTCTGAGGAAGGTGTATTGTGATAATTTCAGTCGGAGATTAGAGCTAACATGTTAAGATACGGGGAAAGAAACCAGAAGGTAAAAATAATAAGTAGTGATAATCAGTCATTATGAGTAATGTGAGTATTAAAGCTATAGAAGAAACATAGTTATGGTTTATGACTATATGTAAATAAGAGAATGGACGTGCCTCTTATGTACGCAGAAACATTGGCTTGCTTTTTTCGAGTCGTTTTTTTTGCTTGGCATTTGACTTTGAAAAAGGATTGTGCTGAAGCGATATGACCAGTGTTGAGAAAATGTTTCATGATGGAACTATTACTTGACTTGGGTTTTATTCTACTTTGTGGTTTACTTTCTGATATCTTAACACATTAGCTCGAATCTTCCAGTGACCAATCGGTGTACCTGATTCAGACGCAAATAGCCTAATGGTAACGTCTTTGACTGCAATACTGGGTGATATGGGTTTTAATCTTAAGTGTGATGTCAGTTCCGTAGAGATTGCAGATACAATTGGCCTACTTTTCCTTTCTAGAACATTCTGTTTTGATGATATAATAGCCAACAACAGACTGATCTATTTGTTTGTTATTACTATAAATTTGATTGTACAGGTACTGAAAATGATTCGTTGAAAAGAAGAATTTCTTCGTTGAATTAATTTGCGTTTTTGAAAATTCTGACTTTACGTAACATTTAAAGCGTGTAATTGAATTGTATCCGTAGTGAAATGAATAGTATTCGTTCAAGGGAAAATAAAATCGGTCATGAATAATACCTATGACTAAATGAAATCTAAGTATTTAAGTATTTAAGCTTCCTTCGTGGAACGACCCAACCCTAGCCCGTTTATACTGCCTTTGAGACGTCCAACTAATTATTAACGAAAACTGGGTGTTACCGCTTTGGCTTTCTGAGGTAGCACCATTTCCCATCATATTACACAAACTCTTTATCAATGAATGTTAACAAGTATGAGAATTTGGTTTTTTGTTCCTCCGGTATTTGTCGTCAATCATTTAACTCTAAATACATGAAATGTATACAGCGACTGAAGCAGAACAGAGGTAGGTATGTGTCTCATGATTTGTTTCTTTAACACAAATGTTTGATTTCAGTTGAAATCATTAGACCAATCACATTGTATAGTTAGATAAATGAAATGTTCTCAATTATCAACAATGATAATAATTATCTGAATGGATTGTGACTCATATTGGTTTTAGCAGTCA